GGTGCAGCAATTATTTTCCCTCATTTCTGTCCTGTTCTCAATCATTATGCCAATAGATAGCTATAAAGAATACAGTGCTTCTCGGGCTCAGATCAAAGTCCCAATCCTACAAAAAAACGTCCTCAGAAGTAACTGCCTGGGCCTCCCCCATGGCGGTGGCGCAGCGGTTGAGCGCTGGGCTGCGAAGCTGCCCGCAGCCTCTGCAGTGCTGGTTGGATTCCCGGCCACCAACGAGAAATGTTTATTATTTTACTGTGTCCCACATGGCGTGCAGACCTCTCCTGCCGCGCCCACTGCTCCCCTCAGCAGTGTATTTCGTCAGTCTGCCTGTTCTGTTCCCTGCTCTGGCTCTGGTGAATTCTCTCACCCTCCCGCGCTTCTGACTGTACCCAGTGCTTGTATAAATAAATAAATAAATCTTTAAAAAAAAAAAAAAAGAAGTGAGTACCTATAAGTAAGCAGGGAGAGTCCTAATGGAATCCATTCTCTAACATCATCTTCCATACATACATTCTCCCAAAATATATGTACCTACAAAAAATCCTCGATCTCAGTCGGGTTTTCTTCCCTTTCCTTTCATAATCAACCTTCCTATCGATCTAGTATAAATCCCTTAGAAGAAAAAATAGTTGTAAGGCTTGGCAACCTTGTTTACACGCCAGTTTCTGTAGCGTGACACTGGCAGCAGAAGCAACCAAAGTAAAAGTCATTGAATTGGAAATCACCAAAGTTGGACATTTTCTTGATAAAGGACAGTAACAATAAAGTGAAAGACAATCCACAGAACGATAAAACATATCTGCCAATTATAAATCTGATAAGGTTGTAGTATCCAGAATATACAAAGAACTCACAAAACTTGTCAAAAAACTCAAGCAATGGGAAACATATTAGACATTTCTCTCGAGAAGAGAAAGATGAACATGAAATTTGGGGGCAGTAAAAATACTTGTATCATATTATAATGATGAATATATGTCATTATATAGTTGTCCAAACTCACACAATGTGCAACACCAAGAGTGAACTCTAAGGTAAAGTATGGACTTTGGGTGATGATGTGCAGTGTACATTCATCCATGGCAACCACAAAAAAAATGTAGCATCTGGTAAGTGACACTGATAATGGGGTGAGGCTATACAAGTATGGAGGCAGTGGACATATGGGAAATCTCTGTACCTTCCTCTCAATTGTGTTGTGAACCTAAAACTGTTCTTTAAAGAATCTTCTTTTAAAAAAGGATTACTAGGCCCTCCCTGGTGGCGCAAGGGGTTAAGCACCACACTATGAAGCAATCCGCAGCCTCTGCAGTGTGAGTTCGATCCCCAGCCAGCCAGGGAGCAACCCACATGGTGCAGCAGACCTCTCCTGACTTGCCCACTGCTCCCCTCAGCAGTCTGCCTGTTTTGTTCCCCACTCTGTCTCTGGTGAATCTTCTCACCCCCCCGCATCTCTAGCCTGTACCCAAGATCTTATATGCATACATAAATAAATCTTTTTTAAAAAAAAAGGATTACTGACTCGTGGTACAATGTGGATGAACTTTGAAAAAATAGCAATATGTGAAAGAAGTCATTCACAAAAGACTATGTATTGTATGATTTTCATTTATAGCAAATGTTCACAATAGGCAAATCCTTAGAGTCAGAGAGACAATTACAGGCTATCAGGTGACGGGGAGTAGGGGGAACTGCTAAGAGGTATGAGGTATCATTTCGAGGTAAAGGAAATGTTCTGGAATGAGATATTGGCAGTGATTGCACAACAGTGAAAATACTAAAAATGACTGAATTGTACATTTTAAAATGATAACATTGATGATGTAAGTGATGTATGTGAACTGCACTTGAAAAAACGTCATAGTAAAATAATAAACATTTCTTAAACTCACAGTTTGCGTGGGTCAGGAACTCGGGAACTGCTAAGCTGGGTGGTTGTGGTCCAGGGCAACACCTGAGGCTGCGGTTGAGATGTTACCAGGGCTGCAGTCATCACAATCAACTGGAGCAGCAATATCTGCTTCCAAGGAGGTACAGTCACAAAGCTAAGTAAGGTGGTGCTGGTAGTTTGTGCAGCCCTCGGTTTTCCCCCACCTAAACTTCTCCGGAGACTCTTTGAGTGTCCTCATGACTTGTAGAATGAGAGTGGGACAAATGTTGCTACAGCAAGAGACCAAAAGTTTTACAAGGTTTGGTCAATGTCTCCTGTAGATTGAGGATCATAGGAATTACTTCATGTCTGACTCACACGAGTAAGGCCTAAAGGCTGGGGCTGGAGCCGTCCCTGGCAGAAAGGAACTGCCAAGGGTTCCCTGTGTTTCCAGGGGACAAATATGAATTCCAGAAGACAGTGTCTCGGATCACCATAAAAGGAAAAACAGCCAAGTGAATCACACGTGTAGAAGGACTTCGACTCAGGCCTGGGTCACAAAAGGGCTGGGGACTGAGGGAGCGTCTAAGTGGCATGTCACAGGAAATACGGTGGCTGTGACATCCTGAGGTGCTCCAAGGAAGCTGTAAATGACACCGGGCACTTCCTCCATATCACAGAGCCAACCATGTGAGGTGGACCCTTCCCCCACAGTCCTTGATCTCTCTGGGACCCCACAGAGAGCAGAAAGAGTGTGTGTCAAATTTACATTTAAACATTTATGTGACCATTGACTAATGTCTGTGACTGTCACTGGAATTTTAGCCTGTTAACAGCAGGGAGATATTTGTTTTGTTATTGCTGCCTCCTGATGACGGTGTTCCTGCTACCATAAGCATTAGAAGTGAATCCCTAAGTGTGGCCCACATTTCAAGATAGGTTTTTACCCTTGTGTTGTGAAATCAGACCAGGTATTAATATCTCCCATCTGCAAGTGAAACGTGGGCTCAAAGAGCTTAAATAAATTTCCCCGGGCTGCAAGGCAGAGCTCGGAGTGAAAGCTAGAAACTGCTGACCCCACAGCCTGTGCTCTTCACCTCCATCAGTGACGGCTCTTAAACAGACGTTGTGAAACCATGGACGCTTGGGTCCATGCCCCACCCCTGCAAAGACCTCTTAGATCATATCTAGGGCTTGGTGCCTATACATGAATGTTTCTAAGCTCCCCGGGCATTTCTGAGGTGCATCCTAAATAGAGAAGCACCCTCTCTGCCTGATGATTTTATACTATTAATATGGACAGTTGCATTTAAAAAAAAAATAAAAGATTCTCAGAAAAAAATAATAATAATATGGACAGCTGCCCATCGCAGGAGGGGGAGTGCCTTGGGTGCAGGGTCCCCACCTCCAGCCCTCTTGTGATGCCACCGTGACCGCACAATGCTTGCGCAGATGCTGAGAAATATCATTGGACGAGAGGATTCAGAGCAAGTGCCACCCAGAATGTCAGCTGCCAAGGGGTTCCAGTGAAGCTGAGGGACACTTGGGGGTGGCCAGCCAGGCCACTCTCTCCAGTGGGTGGGAAGTTCACTGGGGCCCACTTGGTAGGCAGCCCCTCCTGCCAACTGGGGCACCTAGCTCAGGAAATAACGCTCACCCCAAGCTTCCTCTCCTACTTCCCAAACGTAAGAGACCCAACTCAGGGTCTAGAATTTACTGAGGCTTGGTGGCTATTTGTCCAACCAGCAGCATGGATCACCGAAACCGACCTCGGGGCAGAATCCCCGGAACTCAGGCCCGAACCCCCAGAACCCCACCTCCGCTCTATGTGGAACAGGAGGCCAGGGAAGGAGAAGAATGGGAACAGCGCGAGGTACCTCGCCAGAGGACTCCAGTCTACGGCCCCCCAGAAAACGAAGAGGTGACAGACAGTGTTACGGGTAAGGATGTGCTCTCCCTGCCTGGGCAGTGGGGAAGTAGCTTCATATTTTTCCTGGGGTGAGGGGTGAGTCTGGAAAGGGCAGGTTTGTCACAAGGAGCAAGACAACCATGTGTGACAGCATCCTGGAACTAGCACAGGCTGTTGGCCATTATTTAAATTTATTTCAGCTCTTTGAGCCCACATTTCCCTTGCAGATGGGAGTTGTTATTTACAAGTTCAAGAGCTTACAATAGGAAACGCCCACCCAGGTGCCAGGTGCCTTGGGAAACAGAGACATCAATTATCCACCCCAGGGAGCTGGCTGTCTAATGGAAAAACTACAAAATGTTAGGGTGTCTTCTGCGGGGTTCAGAAAGGTGACAGGAGGATAGAAGGGGAGTATAAAGGCTGCTGAGGGCTGCCGTCTTTCTGGGGTGCGTTGTCTCTTCCTGCAATTGTCACCTGCCCTCTTAGCAAGTGGGTGATGGTAGAACACTGCTGGCAGAAAGGGCTTTCTGGGAACGTATCAAGTCTTGATTTAAAAAAAAAAAAAACTACATACCTAGCGAGGGTCTTAAGTCATCAAAGTGTGGCTTTTCTGCTGGAAGAAAGTAAGCGGTCTGGAGAGCTTGCTTTCCAGGCTCCATCTTTCGTCTCCAAGTTTTCCCAGGACTTAAAAGGGCTACAACTGCAGAGGGGGGTCACGGCACTGTTCACACGGGCCCCTACAAGGAAAAGGAGAATAAATGTCTGTTTAAGGTATAAAATGCAAACCATTCAGAGGTAGTCGGTTCGTTTCAGGTGTTTGGCTGCTTGTTTGTGTTTTGAGGGGGAGGGGTCCGGCAGTGAGGCTTCGTGAGAGACGGGGAAGGAGGGGTCAGGAGGTGTAAACAGACAAGGGCGGAAGGGCAAAGTCACCGGTGGAGACCAGCGATCAAGCAAGGGCGGAGGCCAGTGGGCGGTGAAGCCTTGTGGGGGAAGACCTGGGACAATGCTGCGGCAGGCAGGAGGGAGGGCCCACGGGGTCAGCCGAGGCTGGCACCAAGGCGGTGTTGGTTGAGTTAGGCCTGGCCTGGCAGCTGAGGTCTGCAGCCACGGTGCGGGAGCCAGCTTCTGCGGGGGTTGGGAAGAACCGCGTGGGGCGAGCAGTAGGGGGCGGGGAAGGGGTGAGGAAGGGAGCCAGGTCCTTCAGCTGTAGCGCCATTAAACTTTTACAGAGCATGTAATGGGCAGAACTGCGCCCAGGGGTGAGTTTGGAAAGGGCAGGTTTATCACAGGAGCATCCCGAAACTAGGACAGGCTGTTGGGCAGTAGCTGTTATTTACGAGCTCAACTGCTTATAAAAAGCAAATGCTCGCCAGGTGCCAGGTGCCTGGGGAAACAGATGCATTGGGCATCGATTTCCGCCCCGGGGAAAGGCTGTCTAATAGAAGACAAGTTGTTGGGGTGGTTTGTGGGGCATATTCAGAAAGGTGACAGCTCCCGGGACGCTCGAAGGGACGGAGGGACGGACGGGGAAGGGGACCTAGCGCGGCTGCTGAAGGATCGGATTCCGGGCCGGAAGAGTTGTGAGAACACACAACTCTGCTGGGACAAAGTCGGTGCGTCTGGGAACTTTTGAGATCTCAATTGAAATAATCAACAAAAGGAAGACACCTTGGAGACAGGCTGTAGTCACCTGTTTGCCCTCGCCTGCTGGAGGAGAGTCAATGGTCCGACCTTTCCTCTCCCAAGTTTTGCCAGGACTTACAAGGGCTGCACCTAGAGGGGAGTCGCGACACTGCCCGCACCCCTTCCGTGCCAAGGGGCGGGCACAGCTTGCAGTGCTCAAATGCAAGCAGTTCACAGGCAGGTTGGGTTGGTTTCGCTTCGGGGAGAGGGCGGAGGCGCTCGCTGGCCCGGCTTCGTGCAGCGGCCGGGCGCGGAAGGAGGGCGAGAGCGCGCGAGGCCAGTCGCGGGCGACGCCGCCGGTCGCCTCCGCGGCGCTGGGCGAGGCTGCGAGCCGGGCCCGCCCCAGAGCGCAGGCGCGAACGCGGGCTGGGGGCGAGGAGGCGGGGCTGGCGCCCACGTGGCGGGGGGGGGGGTCGGGGGGCGGAGCAGGTCTCGCGAGGCCGCGCCCCGACTCGCGCGGGCAACTCGCGCGCGCTTGGAGCTGCCTGGCGGCGGGAGGAGTCGCGCGCCTGCCGAGGCACGAGTGCCCGCTCGCACGGTCATGGAAGCGCCGCCGCCGCCGGCCGCGCCGACTGCACTCCCGGGTCGGAGCCGAAGGCGGCTCCTGCTGCCGCTGCTGCTGCTGCTGCTCCGGGCCGGGGCGCTGCGGGGCCGGGAGACGGACGAGAAGCCCCGAACCCGGGAAGAGGAGTGCCACTTCTACGCGGGTGGACACGTGTACCCGGGGGAAGCGTCCCGGGTTTCGGTCGCCGACCACTCCCTGCACCTTAGCAAAGCCAAGAGTAGGTGGCGCCCGCCAAGTGGGGGGTGGGGTGCCCGGTGGCGTAGGGCGGGGGGGGGGAGGTGGGGAGAGCCGGGGGACACGTGCACGCGGGTTTCGATGGCTGCCCGGGACCTGGCTTGGGCGGCACCTCCTGCGCTGCCTCCGGTCCCTGGGCAGGCCCGGCTCGCTCCTGGGGGTGGTGGCACGGAGGAGGGTTCCGGCTCTGAAGACAGGGATGGTCAGATTTGGGAAGAAGTAGTGGTTACCCCAAAAGCCGCAGATGAGGGGAAAGGAGTGGCTCTTGTCCCGAGCTTGCAGGCATCGAGGATGTTGTGCAAACTGAAACACTTCCTCAGACACCGAAAAGCGCCTGCAGCACATCACATCTGTTTTCAAGTACTGTTTCTGGGACGAATGCATTGATGAGTTCAATAGTGATTCCCAGAAAGTTTGCTTAAACAGAAAAGTGGCTAAACGACCCGCCCAGGAGGTCAAACGTTTCTTTTGTTTTTGTTGCCAGTGCTAAAGACAATTAAAAGCCATCTTCCCCCAAAACTGTCCCTACAGGGTGTTCTTTGTGTTTCTCAGAAATGAAGAACTTGCTTCAGGGTGTGCTTTGGCCACTTTTTGTGGGGAGATGGAGAAAAAGAGATTGGAAGTAACACATTGGGGTTGATGATAAACCTCGTGGCAAGTTTGTGACCTGCCAGTTTGGCTTTTGATTATTTGCATTTCCATCCGGTGTACACAGCTAATGGCCACTTGCAGGAAGGACACGTCAGACTAAGTGGATTCTGAGAAAGTTGTGGCCTGCTGCATCTGGTTGTTAAGATAAGCCGAAAAGAAGTGGGCTAAAGAATAAAGAGACAAAGGGACAAGACTGTCCCTTGCTTGCTTTTAAGTAACCTGCTTTTCTTAAGGCTCATTTGGCAGCCTGCACAAGTGTGTTTGGCTTTTGTGGTTTAGTTAGAGCGTATTCTGGACCGTTATTCAGTGAAAAAAATAAATAAAGCTTCACAATTATGAATCCCTATTGTTAAAGGGGATGTTATGACTTAGGATGAAGTGGGAACAATAAGTGAGAAAAACTGTTTTGTTTCTGTAAACATTTGCATTTCTTTCCTACTGAAAATTAGCAACTTTTGAGAGGGTTGTTTTAAAAACCCAGTCTTGCACTTTTAAAAATCATTGTATTTCTAGGTCTTGGGGGTTTTCCTTGCTTGGGAAGATAGTTTGAAATACATCAGTCATTTAAATGTTTACTGGCCCTACATGTATTTCCCATAAGAACAAATCCCATCCAAGTCTGCTCATGGAAGCAAAAACTTGTAACAATAGATTTCCTTTTTCCCAGAAACCTTTTCAGATTTTAGCTATTTGTCACATTTCTACGTCACTTGTAGGCTTATCCAATACAATTAAAGATACAAGGCTTTTATTCATAAAGTGGAATATTGCGCCATTAAAGTCATACTTTAAATAATGATTAATATGAAACACAGTTAATGATTCCCTGCTTCTCTTTAAAAGTGGGGGCGTGCAACATGATTCTAATTTCTCTTTAAAAAAGAGTCTGAAAGGGAAGAGATCAAAATGTTAGCATGGATGGGGGGTGAGAGGATTTAAATATTCTTTCTACTGCTCTACATTTGCCAGAATCTTTGTTAATTATAGGATCTATATTCAGGACAATTTTTGTTTTTTAATAGATGCAAGGGACTGCTTTGGGAATTCCATTTATAGATCTTAACAAAGTCACTGCATTTTTTTGGCTCTATAAATGAGGGGGTTTTTTTAACACTGCAATTCTTAAAGCAAGAACTCAAGTTTTTTAGAATCACGATTTTCAGAACAAATACTTGTTTTTCAGATTTGATATTCCCAATATGCTAAAATCATCATGGAGTGTGGTGGTGAGATCATTACAGTTATAACCTGCACTTAAGTAGTAACATATATCTATAAATCATAGATTGTTCAGTACTCTTCTAATTCTCCCTCCTGCCTTTACCTAATCACATCAGGATATTTATTTGAAGTAGGTTGCTGGCTCAAGATAAACTATCACATGTTGTATATTAACTTCAGAGAGAAAGTCATCTTAAATTTGTCTCTTTTTTGGAGTGACCAAAAATGCTAGCAGTTATACAAAATACAATAAATGCTGGCTATTATAAGCCTTGGTTTCTAGGACTCTCAGCCAAACTTGGAAGCAAGTATTGACTTCAGTGTATCTATTTGTTTTGAAAGTTTAAATGCTATGTAAATGTGTTAGCAGAAGATCTAGGTATATTATTATCAAAGCCTGTTGGCTAGAATTACAGCATGCCCTTGAGAGGCACAAACTATTCAGTATCCATCAGGTCACTTGAAAGCTGACCAAGGCAGGCGGGGAGCAGGGCTGGGGCAGGAATCTCCTCTTTCAAAGCTCTCTAGGAAAATAATCCCATGACCTGGGCGTTTACCCTTCTCACCTGCCCAGGATGCATTTTCAAATTTCCTACTTGAGTGTAGTCTGATCTGCAGCAGGTCCTTTTTGTGTATGTGAGAAACTACACAAACGTTTAATTAGTACATCTGAAAGACTGCCATTGGAGAACGGAAAATCTAATTCTTTGAATTACAGGAAGTTGATTAACTTGGAGAGTCTATAGTGCAATATCCAGTAGGGTTTAGTGCACGGATAGAATGTAGGAGGTCTGTGAGCATGAATAGAACCAAAATAGTTTAACCTCCAACTGAAATTTAGCATTTTTTTCCATTATGAACCTCTGTAACAAACCACATTAGCATCAGCAGCACTTGCTTGTACCCGTCACCTATGGAATCATGGATATTTTCATGCTACATGATGGTTATTGCAGGTATCCTGAAACATCGTCGACTCACTGCTATCTTGGATAGTTATTAGATCACTGCTAGAACTTGCCATTTTAAGGTGTTAATAAAAGGGTTATCAACAATTTATTTTTTATTTTGATAACTGCACTTCAGTGTAATTGGTTTCCTTTGTAATCCTATATCTTATTCTGAGAAGTCCATAAGCTCCGTCAGACTGCTTCACCAAACCCTGATCTTTAGTGATTTCCTAAGGATGTCCTGTTATCCCATAACTTTCTCAATGTTATAATTTTTTTTTTTTTTTTTAGTTTCTAAGCCAGCACCCCATTGGGAAGGAACAGCTGTAATAAATGGAGAATTTAAGGAGCTCAAGTTAAGTGATTACCGTGGGAAATACCTGGTATTCTTCTTCTACCCACTTGATTTGTAAGTAACACACGTACATAACAGCTAGTAAAGTCTCAGTCATTATCAATCATCATTCAAGAACATCAAATAAGAAGAAATTATTTTCTTTAGCTCTTGATTCGTAAAAGGCAAGCTAAGATGAAGAATTTTTTCAAGAACTTCTAGATATTTCAGAATCATAATTCATTGCCCCCAATGACTTACCACTACATGATGATGTTACCACTGTAATCATCGGAGAAAAGCTACAATTATATTCATTAAGCTATACCTACTAACGCAAGAAAATGGACTGATAATATTTTAAAAAGCATTTCATAGCAAGATTTACACCACAAATCTCTTTATAATGTCTCTGTTAACTAGAAAATTAATATGCTCTTTTCTCTGGTAATGCCATTTAACTATGGTCTTACTATTTTTATTCTTTGCTGCATCTGGTGCTTTCATGTGATTTGAATTTTCCTGAAAATATTGTATAAGCTTAAGAAATATTACCTATTAATACAAATTGTGTTACTGTGGGTTTTTTTCCCTAATTTTAACTCTGTGGCAGTGGGCACTTTTGTAAACAGTCTAGAAGTTGACTCAAAATAAATGCTCTTGCAGTTTCAGTCACATGGAAGATACGGAATGTCTTCCAAATTCCAAGAAAGTTAAAAGATACCGAAAAGAGAGTTATCCCAACTTTAATCTTTTTGGTATTTGAATAGGTTGTGGTTACCAAAAGTAAGCAGAAGATTCTTTTCTCTTTGCCACTGTATATTCAGGTCTTTTTTCCATGAGGACTAATTTAGAACTATGTAAATAAAATTTAAACTTGCAAGGAGGATTTACTTGAACACATCTCTATATGTTGCCTCTAAGCCTCTATATAGGTTCAAATAGTAGGCATTTTGGTTTTGTGGTGATCTCTATTGTCACTACTCAAATTCGCCACTGTAGCACAAAGACAATCATAAATAATACATTAAGGAATCTGTGTTTTTGTGTTCCAGTCAAAGGTTATTTACAGAAAAATAAGATAGACTGTACATTGAGGTTTGCCGACCCATACTCAAAGCCAAAAAGGACACATTCTCATAAAATCAGTACACTGAGTTTAAGTCATGAATCTACATAATACATGATCTTTTAAATTAGTAAGAAATTCCTTCTTTCTAATCATCTAATATCGTGACTTGACTAGCTAAAACCCATATTTCCTAATAGAAGCCAGAAGTAGAACTTTTAAAATGCAGAAAATAGGCCTTCTAAATTCATGTTGTTACAAAACCAAAACGTTAACACATTTGTTAAGTACATATGACACCAAGCCTAAATTTTGAAATTATTCTAACATAGCTGTTATGCTGTTATGCTGTTTCTCTGGTGTTATTTAAAACTCCATAATGAATAAGACGCAGCAAGTCAGAATGTGACATGAGCAGTAGTCTTCCAGGGAAAAGAACTCCTTTCTGTTGCTTCTGCCTCATTCAGACTCTGGGCCTGGTGAAAGAAGGAAGAGTTCTGGGCCATTTGCCGCAGTTTCCAAGGAGGAAAGTCACAAATGTAACCTATCAGTTTCCTGCCAGCACTTTTTCTCCATCCTCACTAAGAATTTGGGCAAATGTGTCTCTAGGTAGCATTTCTTGGGATAATAGGAAGGAAGGCAAGGGCTGACTATGCCTACCTTTTGGAAAATATTAAAAATACATATTCTAGCCCAGGTGTCCAGGGATGTTATCTAGATTAGAACTGTCTGCTTGCACGTCGCAGTCATTCACTTGAACAACTGATACATTTGAAAAGCCCGTTATTGGGCTGTGGTAGGAACTTATCACCCCCTACATAAACACTTCCCAAACTTTCTTGACCAAACACACAGTAGGACATACATTTTTCATTGCCACCCAAAACAGCCACATACACAGAGAACATTCAGTCTGTGTGCCTCCGTGCAGCCGTGCTCATTCAAATAGTATAAAACTTCCAGACCAGATAGTCAGTGGCCACTTCCCCACCTCCTTCCCGTAGTTGCGCTTCCCCCCTGTTCACTTTCAGAAACTCCCAGTGCTAAAGCCAACTTGGAGTTAAGTTTGGTAAATGTAATCTCTCCCCTGAAAACTCTCATACACACTCATACATACATGTTTCATAGCCTCCCCTGTGGCTGATGGAGTCTCCTGTTTTCCATTTCATCTTTTTAAATGTTGGTTGGTTGGAACTCAGTAAATTGGCTTAAGGTGCCCCTACTATGATTTGAAAAATACTACCCTAAGGCGATATTCTCCAAATATGCCCTTCTGACAACATGAAAGAATAACGGAGTAAAATTTCGTGGCTGCCATGGGATGGGGAGACAAGGTGGAAGAGGCCTTACAAGAAAGGGAGAGGAATGGGAGAGCATTTCCTCATCACCAAAATAGAGAGGCATCTAGCTCAGAAGGTGGATATAGGAATTTTTTTAAATATTGAAATGATGTAAAAGTTGTATAGATCCTTTGAAAATTGTAACGCACTATATAAATACAGAGTATTATTAAAGCTAATAAAATTGGGGGGAGCTGCTGCCATGAGGAACTCTGTAATAGATGTTTTCCAATTAAATGATACTTGATTAAATGGCAGTCTCAGACTACTCCACCTTGAAAAAGGTTAGTATTTAAAATTATTCTTAATATGCATTTTTATATACTGAAGATGTTTATATAAAAACTAAAGCATATGAAACCTCAGGTGTATATGTGTATTTGAGAATACTGATTTTTTTTTTCAGCACTTTTGTGTGTCCAACCGAAATTATCGCCTTTGGTGATAGAATTGAAGAATTCAGATCCATAAACGCAGAAGTGGTAGCATGCTCCGTTGATTCACAGTTCACCCATTTGGCCTGGTCAGTATCTTACACCTGTATTTATAGGGGAAAGAATGGATTTACTCTTGGGCCTCCCTGGTGGCGCAGCGTTTGAGCGCTGGGCTGCGAGGCTGCGGGCAGCCTCTGCAGCACAGGTTCATTCCCCGGCCGCCGGCGAGGGTCCCACAAAAAAAAAAAAAAAAAAAAGAATGGATTTACTCTTAAAGTTTGGGCAAACAACTCTTACCATGTTAAGAATGTTGTCATTTATCAGGCAGTTTGTAAACAGATTTATCTAAGAGCTGCTAGTTCAGTGAAGTTATGGTAAAAATGCTGAAGGATTTTATAGGACACTTCAAAATTGGGGGTAACAGTTAAATGCAAAAGACATAATATCCATAGCAAAATAACTGACTTTTATGATAACTTTATGATGATAAATTGGCTGACCTTAATTAGTCTGGAGAAAAAAATTTAAAATACAGTAGCTAAGCCAAATTCAAAAAAGCTGAAGCAGTGATTTTATAGTTAATTTTAAAATAATTTTTAGAAATTCATTAAACATGAAAAGATATCCCACATAAGTAATTGCAAGGAATTTCAAATTAAAATTACAAAATATAGCATTTTTCCCTGATTGATTGGCCAAGATTTCAAATATTGAAACCTTTCATGCACTGTTTACAAAGATATGAAGAAGTGACACATTTGGTTCAGACAACAATGACCATTTGGTTCAGAATGTCTGGAGAACAATTAGGCGTATGTTTCAAAATTTGAATTGTTCATATTGATGTTTTTAAGGTAACATTCAAAATAAGTTTTTATCCATTTGCAATTATATATATACATATCTGTATACATATATAATTAAAATATATAACTAAAACTTAAATTGGTTCCCTTCATAATTAATTCTTAGATATTTTAAAATGCAATTATGTAATATACTTGATTTCTTTAAGCATCTCAATTTTCAGACAAACCTTCCCAAGAACTTAAGCAGTTCTTGCAAGTCTAAAAAATAAATGTTATGTGTCTTAAGACCCTTTAAAATGTTTCTTTACTATTAATAAACTGAGTAAGATTTCCAATTACATGTTTTTAAATTGGAGTCACAAAGTGTATGTTATTCTAATATGCCAAATTTTCTTAAGCTTTATCAATAACTTAATATATAAATATGTACTGATTAAGTATAATATATTAAAACTGTGGGTTTAATTTGCTTCTTTTCTCTAGTAATTCTGGATCTTCATGGTATTAAGACACAAATAAACTGAGGAAAAAGTCGTCATTCCAACTAATTTGGGATTCTGAGGAAATTTGGGGGATACATTCTCAGCTGGATAGGTTTCATACCAGCCAGAGATTTCTACTTGGATGTCAGAACTGGGGCTGCAGACATCTGAAGCAGGGCTTTCCTGTTTCCTAGCTGCTAGGTCTGTGCCTTCCCAGTGGGACACCAGTCTACACCCCCCCATTTAAGATTACAGAATACTTACATCTGAAGAATGACACATCTGAAATTGTAACTTCCTTCACTACTTCAAGTGAACTTTGCATTTCTTTGTCTCTTAAAATATTAAAATGTCACCCCTTGTATTCTGTCTTCTTGTCACAATTCTAAGGTTACGTTATGACAGCACATCCCCTTTGATCTGTCACTTCCACTTCTAGGAATGAACCAGACTAGCATACGAAGTTGAGAATACAAGGATGTTTCCAGCCATGTTTATTAAAGCAGAAACAAAAACAATTTAAATGTGTTATCTTTAGAGATTAGTAAAATAGTTTGTCTATACATTAAAAATTTGGTGAATATTATTTTTGTTAGAGAAAGTGTGTGTGTGTGTGTGTGTGTGTGTGTGTGTGTGTGCGTGCGTGCGCATGCGTGCATGCGTGCGTGCACATGCAGAGAAAGTGCTGTTCTGGTATATGTCTTTTACTTAACTCTGAGGAGGTAACTGTTCTGTTTGTTTCAGGATTAATACTCCACGAAAACAAGGAGGACTTGGATCACTGAAGATCCCACTTCTTTCAGATTTGACCCATCAGATCTCAAAAGACTACGGCGTGTATCTGGAAGACTCCGGCCACACACTTAGGTACTTTTCAGTGGTTTCACATTATCACAAATCCAAATATATTTGTAATCCTCCTTGACATGGAGTCAGATGATCAAGAAATATTCTTTTTGTAAAAATATTGCAGATAGTATTTAAAATAACCGGTGAGTGTCCTATTTAAACTGTGTGTCATAGACAGAGCTGGAAGATTAAAAGTCTTTGACCAACAGTGTCATTTTACAGATAAACATATTCATAGCATTCCATAAACTTAGCCAGTCATATAATTAGTTAATGGTAGAGCCCAGACTTGAACCCAAGTCCCAAAACACCTTGTCCATTTCTTTCTCCTCTTTCCAAATTGACTGCATTAATCTGCATCTTTGGAATGGGAAAAATTAAATATCTTACCCAACAGCTCTCACTGGGTTCCTTGAGTAAGAAATGCTAATATAATTATTAGAAAAAAGGGCAATTTTGGCTTAAAGCAGTTTTAATTTTGTTATAGTGTTGATTTGCTTTACAGTGCTAATGATTGCTTTTGAAAATGTTTTATGTGAATGTTGTAAATATTTTAATAATTCTGTGTTTTTTGTCAGTTTTGAGAGACTGTATTTCATATGCCATATAGTTCACCCATTCAAAGCGTACAAGTCAGTGGCTGTTAGTGCACTCAGAGCTGGGTAACCACCAACCACAGTCCATTTTAGAACATTTTCATTACCTGACAAAAGAAGCCAATGCCCATGAGCAGTGACTGCCCATTTCCCCCAGTCTCCTGCCCCTGGCCCTCAGCAACCACTAACCTACTTTGTGTGTTTATAGTTGCCTGTTCTGGACATTTCCTATGAATGGACTCCTATTTGGGCTTATGACTAGCCTCTCTCACTTAGCTTAATGTTCTCAAGGTTCATTCATACTATATCATATATCACCAAAATAGTTTCTTTTTTCTTTTTGTACTTGCCAAGTCTGATGTTTCAGCTTTCACAGAGTTTACTCCCAAAAGAATAAATATGCCACTAAAAAGACTGAGGCAATTGTAAAATTTGGATTTGAACATTAACCAAGTAAAGTTCAAAGTCTATTACAGCTATTTTATGTAATTATAACTAATAGTTTCCTCTTTCAATTATTTTTATTTTCATTAACGTTTCATGCACATATTTAAAAGTCACATTGTTTTAAGCAACAGTCCCCTCCCTGTCCTTCACCCTGCTTCTTGGAGGAGGCTGCTCTCAACTCTTTAACTACTGCTTTCACTGTTTGTCTCCATATGTCTGAATGTTGTACTCGTAGTGGATTTATCAATTTTGACATTATTTGTCATGATAAACGAGATTATCTTTCTTACTCCATCCCCAAATTTATCTTCCCAAGGTGTTACGGGTGTTTCCATTATACATTTTTCACTGCTAAGCTCTTAAAATGTAGTGTGCTTGGGATTACATTTCCTTTCTGGTAAACTTTGATTTTCTTGTAGCTAATAAACTATTTCATTTTTTTCTGTCTCATAGTTTCTATATACACATCGCTAATTCTTCCTAAACTCCCCAAGCTGAATTGCAACCCCTCTGAATCATACTTTAATTTTCCTCTGCCAATTGCCTTTTTATAGAAACCTTCATCTTGTTTCAATTCAGACTGACCACTCTGGGCCTGCCACACAGAACTGTTTTCCTAACACTTTGTTCTCCAGCATCCTGGGACTTAACCTTTAACTTTGTTAGATGCCCATTTTCTGCCTCCCAGGCCTGCTGTCATTTATATTTAATCCCTTGTTTTGTGAAGCACATATCATATATCATTCAGCCTTAGCTAAATTTTAGCTTTAGCTAATTTGAAAACAATAATCAGAACATTTTGAAACCATCTTACAACTTTTAGGAGAAGAAATCAAAGTAATTATACTGCTGCTTGCTCAAATTAAAAAATCAAAAGACTGATGTGTAGAAGAGCAGGCAGGATAGAAGCTTTTAGCTTCCTAATAAAAGGGCATTGGAAGGTAAAAAGCTTGAGGTATTTCATGTCTAAAAATGTTTTTTATTATGCTCTCAGGCTTGATTAATAATTTGGCAGGATATAGAACTCTAAATTGAAATGCATTTTCCTACAGACATTTGAAAACTTCCCTGCTACCTGTAGCTCCTGGGGTGGTTTTGAGGTATCTGTTGCTATTTTCTTATTTTTGATAAGAATGACCTCTCTTCTCTGTGAAAGAGACATACGTACATACTGCAAATATGGCAACTGTCTTAGTCTCAAAAATCTACCAAAGAGCAATTCACAAAATTAAAACATAACAGAAGGTAGAATTTTTCTGCGCAAGAAAAGGCGAATTTGCTTTCCTGGGCTGTGTGTTGGTATGCGTGATAAAGGCAAATTCAAATTGTGAGATCAGGCTCACTTCAGAACAGAGTTGGTCACCATTGCTGACGAATGTAGCTACATGAAAGAACACCCCTTGTGAATAGAAATTAACAATTTGGCCAAGTTGATCTGGACCAAGGGCAGTGAGCCCTAATTAAAGACACCAAGTTGTTCATTCAAAAAATGTATTGTAGGGCAAGCAAAACACTGGAATAATGTTTAATAAGATTGTAAAATAAAATTTCATATAACAGGTAATTTCATATAATTCTATTAAAAATATCTCATTATTACTTATAATACTGGTATACAAGCACTAGCCCCAATAACTGAAACCTTTTTTCTAATTCAAAGTATTGCATTGAAATCCACATTGACTTTAAAAGACAATAAAGTTCTTTGAGTTAAAGTTTACTTTAGAGTTTTATAGTGAGAATTCCAGATTAAACACTAGATAAGTGTGAGTGTGGAGGTACGTGAATGTACATGTGCACCAGCCAAGTAGTAGGTGGTAAGCTGGTTCTGTTGGCTCTGTGTAACTTCCTTATTTGTGGATGGTAGAAGGATTCATGTTAACTGGTATTTGGCCTCACTGAGGAAAGAAATGGGCTCACCTCTACCATTCTTATGTTTTACAGGGGCCTCTTCATTATTGACGACAAAGGAATCCTGAGACAGATTACTCTGAATGACCTTCCTGTGGGTAGGTCAGTGGATGAGACACTGCGTTTGGTTCAAGCATTCCAGTACACCGACAAACATGGAGAAGGTATCCTGCCCTTCTATACATCATAGTCTCTGGATTTTTTTAAGTTGAGCTAGCAGCAGTATAATTACTTTATTTCTTCTTCTAAAAGTTGTAAGATGGCTTCAAAATGTTCTGATTATTGTTTTCAAATTATTGCCCTATCTTTTTTAGTAGATCAAATTATTCTTTAAAGTGCTTTTAGCAAAATAGCATTAGTATAGCCTAAGCTGTAAAAATTTTCATTATTTGCAACAGTCCTTGGATAAGCTCAAAGAGAAAAGTTTCTGATACTGCCATTTTTCAAATTATACTGCTAGAAACTTAAAATGTACAGCAGGTCCTTGAATAATGTCATTTCATTAAGTAAGGATATACTGTACCAATCTGGCAGTATTTGTTGGCGGATTTACGTTATTTCGTTTAGCTTTTTTCTTCAAGATAGTTCAGTAATCCTCAGTTACTCAGTATCACACCAGTCTATCAACTCATCCTTTCACTCAGAGTTTTCGAGGTAGGGAAAAAGGTCAAATTTTGTTAAAATAGAACATATTATATATTCCTTTCAAAAGTGTAACTCAGCACTTAAGTCAGGGTACACTCTAAATTAAAGGGAAATCCTTCTTTCTGAATAATTTTAAAGTCTCGTTTGACAAACAGCAAGCCCTGGCATACCACAAAATCCTGCAAGAACCATGGCAGACATGGTTTATATCAACTTGGGAAATTTCTGCCATGCCCAGACTTTTCAGCTCACCAGATCCTGAAACTTTTCAACTTTGTTAGAGCAATATTCAATTTGATTTCTTATATTGTAAATGTAACTAAACATAACGACAAGATTAGCTGCCTGCTGATAAGCTCTGTGGCTAAAACTCTTTGGTACAAATAGGCAAACTAAGCAACACACACACACAAGCAAGCTAACAGAAGTCAAGTATTCAATGACCTAGAAAATAGTCTCATTAATATAGATGCTGTTTTCAGTTTTACTTGGAAAAGAAAAGCCAAGAGTCGCTGAAGAGAACTGAACTCTGTTTGTTGTCTTTTTGTTCCTTTCAGTCTGCCCTGCTGGTTGGAAGCCCGGTAGTGAAACAGTAAGTCAAATTGGTTTCTTGTTAAGGGAATGACAGAGGCCAAAAAACCCCCACAGCCTTAGGATAACTGTTCCTTGTACTAGAACTGTTTTGATTTTGTAAAAGTAAACATGGCTAGGCAGAAATCATGAAACCCAGTACTCTTTGGCCTGTAGGGAAAGTAGCTAAAACTGGAGAAAGAATATAGGGCTTAATACTGTGAATTTTAAAGCCTATCCCAGAGAACTATACCATTAAAAATAAACAAAGCAAATAGTGGAGACTGGGTAGAATAAATTTAGAGGTCTTTGAGATCATATTTTGAATTTCTTCCTATGTTGTAGCCAACAAAAAAGTCACAAGCAAAACCTTCCTAGATCTATTTGAAAACTTTTGAGAAAATCTGACTTCATTAGCATTGAAACTAATGATTTCCCCCCATTATCATTTGAAGGAAGAAAAGACTAAAATGGGTGCACTCATGCTTTCATTTATGGAGGATGTATAATTTGTAGACAATCCCTGAAGTAGTCGCTGGCCAAAGTACAATTTGGGAACTTGCTTGAACCTTTTTAAGTAATATGTTTATCTTCTAAAAACCAAGCATTTTACACAAACTGTAGTTAGGAAGTTGAAACATACTATAGAACATTGGAAGAAGAAATTGTTATCTTAGGATAACAGAAAAATACACACGTCTAAGACTTTGTTCCAGCAAAACAAAAAGTGCCACTAGCCAAAGACAGTGGAAGGTAGGATTTACTCTGTAACCTCAGATTAGGTAAAGGAACAGTTCAGTGGTTTTGAAACAGTTTTTGATAGGTTTGCAAACAGCTTTGCCTTTGCAGACCAAAGTTAATGTTACAATCCAAATTTATTTATCTCTACATAGATATGATGGATCTCAAAGAGGATTTAAAGTTATTCATTGAAAGTACTTAGAGCACTCGTTACTTTAAATCATAAAGTAGATTAGTTTGCAGTGATGATCAGAGGCTTACAGCTAGAAATATGAATCAGAAGCTATAGGCATCATCTGAGAAATCTTAAAAAGTATTTCCAAATACATCTCCTAGGTAGGGTGCACTTCCCCCTGGGAGCTGTAGCAAAACCAAGTGACTGATAAATTCACCATGAACCACAGGCATGTGCTAAAAGACCACCAAGAGCTCCCAACAAGTATAAATTTACTATGAATGATATTCTAGGATGAGTATTTTATATGCATTCAGAAAACATGTTGACTATCTACTTGATTAACTTGGGGGGGCCTAGAATTTGATGAAACCCTTGTGTTCTCCCTCCAAGAAAATGCACATACGTTATCACATACTGTATCTGGGTATTCTTTTTTATCCCTCAGCTTTACTAAAGTATAACTGACAAATAAGAATTGTATATTTAAAGTGTACAATGTGAAAATTTGATAGGTGTATACATTGTGAAATGATTACCACAACCGGATTAATTAACAAATTTGTCACCTCACATAAGTTACCTTTTGTTGTGTGGTGAGAATGCTTAAGATCTACTCTTAAAGCAGATTTCAAGTGTACACCACTGTATTTCTAACTGCAGTCACCATGCTGTACATTAGATCTCCAGAAATTATTCTTAACTATTTATAACTGAAGGCTCTTTGTCCTTCACTGCTCCCCTCTTGCCCTAGTCACAGCCCCTGGCCACCACTGTTCTACCCTGTTTGTCTGGGCATTCTTTCAGCAGACATTTATTGTTCACCTACTGTATGGCAACTGTTCAAATTGCTGTGACAGCCAAACAGAATCTGCTAGTGAACAGCACAGCCAAGGTCCCAACCCTTGGAGTGCCGTTCTACTTCTAGCTTTGGGTTGCAGCAGATGCTTTTAGAAACAGGTCAAAGGGAGTTGGCGGGATAGCGCCTGGGGTGGGGAGAAAGATGTCAGGGAAAACTTCTAAGCTAACATTTGAGTTGAATCTCGATTGAAGAGGGAGCCAGTCACGTAAAGAATAGCACAGAAAGAACAGCAAGGGCAGAGGCCCAAGGTGAGTGAGCCGGCCAAGCCCGCCAAGGAACAGAAAGGGGCCCGTGCAGCTGGAACAGGGACGCCAGGGTCCGCTGGCATGGCGGGTTGGAGTACAGTGAACTGACTGGGGAGTCGGTGGTGAGCACAGTAAAGGCAGCAGCTACTTTGGAGTAGTCCAAAGATGGGGGTGAAATAAGAGGAAATGAGGCAATTATGAAGAACTAGTTCAAGAAAGACAGCTTTGAGGATGAGAAGAAAAGTAGCTGGAGAGAGGACGTAGCACGTGGTGACATTTCTTCGAAGAGGGATGAGGTTTTCATCTCCATCTCCCTCAGTTCCCTCGTGATAGCTCCCTGATCTCAGTTTCCCATCTGCCAGTGCATGGCAGTCCCCAGGCCAGAACCTTTGAGTGGCTCTGCAGTACTCACAGGACAAAGTCCAGGTGCTTGTATGGCCAGTGAGCCTTCACATTCTTTGTTACTCTGGGCCTGTCCAGATCCTTCTCCAGGACTCACACACACGTGTTGTGTTTAGCCAAAACATGTCACTCATCTTTTTCCAAAATAAGCCCTGTTGTTTCACACCTATCTATCTTTGCTTAGTGCTTCCTTCCTATAAAAGCCTGGGAGACCTCTCCCTTCCTCTAAATTCTCATCTCTCAAGACATGCCACCTTCCCTGAGTTTTGCCCTGATGGCACCTCAGCCTCCGTGGAGTCACACAACCTGTGTCCTATTGTGCATCAAACTGTTGTGCACACATACAACTTCACCATGTGCTTGCATGAGCCTCAAAGGTCGGGGACATTGCTAGTTACTTATGTATCTCCCCCATGCCCAGCACACCGTTGGCACATAGTAGAGAGCCACAAGTACTTGCAAGCTGAATTTAAATGCAAGAGATTATAAATTGGTAAAGACAGAATATTCCTTGAAGTGATGCCTAAAAATTAGAAAACATTTATTCTAAATGCTAAGGAAAAATTCTGAAGAAAACAGAATGAGGCAGCTCTTTCTGCCTGCTTGTGTCTGCACACGGTCTTTCCTTTCCCTTTCATAATAAACCTGTCCTGTTGGGTATTAAAAAACACAGAACTATTGTAAGCTGATTTTGGTAGATAATTTTTTAAATAAGGATAGATATACTTTACCTATAACTAGGCAAGAAGCAGTTAATAGGATGTCAAATTATATTGCAAATTTCCAAAAAGTCAAGTTGGTTTCGAAGGCTGTGATGCTCGAGGCGGGAACACTTCTTTCCGAGTATTTGTTCTTCTTCACAGTTTGAAGTTAAAAGGTTGCATTCTTGCCTCTTGAGAATGCATTTGAAAACACTGCCCCCTTTTCAGGTTGTGGCATACCATCATTTCATCAGCAGATGATTTTAAAAATACATTAACATCTGTAGCCATGCTCTCTTAATGTGTTTGATTTAATTAGATCAAACCTGAAGATGTCATGAAAGCCTGGTGGCCAAGAGAAGAGCTGTAAGTAAATTTTGGGGTGCTTGAGTACAGATGTTAATTTATTAACAAATTATTTGCCTTTTGGGATAGTTGAGATTAATAGGTAGGACAAATTGAATTTTTCCTAAATAATTTGGTACACAGAAGCACATCTCTTCAGTCAAGAGGCGGGCAACTAATGTCAGACTTAATGATGTATTTTGGCTTTTAAAATGAATAATTTGCTTTTTTTTAAACAGATAATCCCGGATCCAGCCGGAAAACTGAAGTATTTCGACAAACTGAACTGAAAAATACTTCCTCACCTCAGGTTGTGATGCTTGAAACTTCTCAATAAACAAGGTTCATCACTTCATTACCATCCTGTGTCAGTCATTTTTCAGAGAATATAAATAGTGTCCAACTTAGACAGTTATTCATTCCAAAGGAAGAAATGTCAGATTGAATCTCTAGTAACGACGATAACTGACACCTGTGGCGTTCATGGCATGTGTCAGGCATCGTGTCAGGCAGCTTAGCTGCTTTGCTTCATTTACTCCTCAAAGCCACACTTGCAGTTCTTTACAGATGGGGTAACTAAAGCTCAGGTAACTACAAACACCAGTCATACCGCTAGCTAGCAAAGGTGGAAACAGACTGAGCCCAGAAGGCTAGTTCTAGTTTCCGGTGACATTACCCCACCGTGGCTCACTTTTGAAGGTGACTGGAAAGAATAGGTTGTGAGCAGTCTCCTTCCATGGTGTCTGGTAGGGAAAGCTGACCCGACCTCACTGCCCTGTGTATGACCTAAAACCCTTTGGACCTCCCTTTTCTCTAAATTCACACTTTCATCTTGTACCCAATGTGTAAGTAAACTCTAACAAAAGTCGAATCCCTAAGTCGATGGAGCTTGCTCTTCACAAATGACCATGTACAAAGCTGAATGCCTGTGCTACTTCACCACTCCGTTTGCTGATGGGCAATGACTTTACTGTGATTGCCCATAAATGTGCCGTGTAGTTAGGACAGCTGGTACCCTGTCCCCCATACTCACCACTCCTAATACTCAAGAAAACGCCTCACTCCAGGGAAGGCCATCACTGCAACTGGGAGTATGGAATTGGGAGTGTCGTCGTCCTAGCTGAAATCTTTGAGTTCTGTGATAAATGGCAGGTGATTCATGATGTGTATTTGGACATGGACAAGGGAATCCAACTGCCATTTATAACCCTTTGCTGCAGCAAATTATTTCTAATGCTAGCTTACAGTCAAAATTCTAGTAGTCAACCTATTACTAAAGTTGGAGACAGCTAGTGCTTTTGTGTTCAGGATTGCCATAATCTTGTCAGCCAATACTTCCAATACGATTAGAATCCTATTCTCAGATTTCCTCTTTCCAATCTGAAAAGCATAAGCCTGCATCTTCATGATTAATAGTTTCTTTGGAGAGTTTCTAGCCTCATCATCTTTGTATGTTTACAAGGAAGACAGCTTAGTATTTCCCTTACTAACAAGTAAGGGAAAATATACCGACTCACCACTTTACATAGTCAGTAGATAATGTAATGAATGGCCCCATGAATAAAATGGATTAAATGCAGCCCTTCTCAGTGCCATTTATAAACTGCTCCTTCAAAAGCTGACTTCTGAAAGTCTGTTGAGCCAAAAGATACCCTAAAGATCTCATGTGGCTATTTACAGAAGAGTGGAAAAAGGTGTTCAGAAAGCATAGTCCCCAGCCCTACTAAGGAGCATGTTCGCCAGGCCCGACTGGGGCTACAGGAGACCTAGTCCTTGAACACACTGCTCCTCTATAACCCAGCAGTGCTTCGCAACCAGAGGCAATTTGCCCCCAGGGGACATGGTGATGACTGGAGATGCTTTCAGTTGTCACCACTTTGGCAGTGCTACTGGCATTTAGTGGGCAGAGAATTGAATTTCCATTGGTTAACTTCAAGCTCTGGCCATTTGTACAACTCAGGACATCAGAAACAAGATTTGCAAGTGTTCTATTAAAGGGAGTACAGTGCACTGTACCCCAAAAGCCACAAGATGGCGCCTGCCACACGAAAATCCCACAGTAACTAGACATGTCATGAGGCCCCCTCTCAGGTCCCTAAACCGAAAGAGCCCAAAATAACTTTGTTTTGAGTGTTTTTTTTTTTTTAACAAATCTAATTTAGAAAAAAACATGAAAAAAGGCTTTAAGATTCAGACCACTTTAAAACTAAGTACAACTCAAGTCAGCATCTTAATTTGTACTGAGTATACACCTCCCATCAATGACCATGAACAAGTTAAAAGTACATTTTAGTCTGACCAGTACACCATGCACATAACAAGTTCCATACAGCATCCACCATTACTATACATGATGTGTCCTGAACTTGCATTTTTTAAAAGATTTATTTATTAATGCATACAAGAACTAGGTGTTGGCTAGAGGTGCGAGGGGTAAGAGGATTCACCAGAGACAGAGTGAGGAGCAGAACAGGCAGACTGAAATACACTGTTGAGGGGAGCAGTGGGCGAGACAGGAGAGGTCTGCTGTGCCATGTGGGTTACCTCGCTGGCCAGGGATCGAACTCATGCTGCAATGGTTGGTGACAGCTGGACAGCACTAAGACTTCAACCCCTGCGCCACCAGGGAGGCCCTGATCTCACTTTTTTTAAAAAGATTTATTTTTATACAAGAGCTGGGGTACAGGCCAGAGGCGCGGGAGGGTGAGAGGATTCACCAGAGACAGAGTGAGGAACAGAACAGGCAGACGGACCGAAATACACTGCTGAGGGGAGCAGCGGGCGTGACAGGAGAGGTCTGCCATGCCATGTGGGAATCTTCCTGGCCGGCCAGGAATCGAACCCGCGCTACAGAGGCTGCAGACAGCTTCACGGTGCTGTGCTTAACCCGCTGCGCCACCAGGGAGGCCCTGATTTCGCATTTTTTAATGTTGGTGACTACCCACCAATAGGCCACCACAGTTTGCAAACATTTATATAATTGATATAATCAAAGCCTAGTTAGTTATCAATACCTTGTCATGTATAAATTTCATCTTCCATTATGGCTTTGTTATTTGTTTTACCCATACTATTCCCTATTCTCTATTAAAGGTGTACAATTTCTGTATCTTCCAAAAACCCAAATTACCCCTACTCTTTCTTTGGTTACTATAATCCTCTCTGGGGCATTAATTTCTCAATGCCTCTAGCTTACTATATAGCTTGCAGAAGGCCTATTTTATTCTGAGCCTCCATTTTTTTTTACCATACACCTCTTAAATAGGACTTGATTTTTACAATTAAATGCAATATACTCTTAAAATATTTCCTACACACACACTCAAAATACTTAACCCACACAGTTGAATCAAGTGACAGAATATAGGCCTAAATCAAAGGACTCTGGAGTGAGAAAAATGTCCCTATTTTTATGGAGGATGAAACAGAACCTGAAAAGAGGAATCCTCCAGGCCACTCCCAGAACTGCTGCTGGTCACTGACGTAGGCAAAGCCTCACACACATGGACATTTGGGCCGGCGCCACTTCTCCCACATCACACTGCCTGCCAGAAATGCACCCACTAAGAGAAAAGATCCCCAAATTCACCTCAGATTGATCCCCTTAGATGAAAATAATTTAATGACAATAGTTTATCTAGAAGCAATGTAATTAGTCAAGGACCCTTAAATCCATTTTTTCACTTACCAAATTAGTTGTCTCTATTTTTAATTCCTCTTTACTATTATAGTAAATCATTATTTGTTGCTAAGGAGGGAAAGAAAACAACCACATGTCCATTTAGAAAGTCAATCACAACTATAGCCAATGTTTCATTCTAAGAGAAAATTTAAATGCCCAAAATATTTTAGCCATCCTCATCTCCCACGGGTGAGATCTGGTTGTACTGCTGCTACATGCATGTATGTGTGTTTATGTCTATATATTTATAACAACTAGTCAACCCTTTATAACAGCTGGAAAAAAAAGTACGTATGAGATGTGTCAAGGGCCAAAACTCTAGACCTCGCCTGGGCCTGCTCCATCTGTATCAGTTATGGGATGAGCTTTGGAAAATTATTTTCCCTCTTGAAGCCCCACTTTCCTTACCTACAAAATGTAAGGATAATGGTGCTGACTTCAAACGGTGGTCATAAGGATTAAATGAACAAATACATTATAATGTCATTAGCAAAGTGCCAAACATAGTAGGAATCTGATGTGTGTTAGCCATATATAAAATCCTTATTCTCTGCCAATTACTTTCTCTAACTGATTTTTTGGCCACAACTCACCAACATCAGTTGCCATGGGGTTCTACCACTAAATTTTAAAAAACCCTAATTACTTCCAAATGTTTTCATAAAGCCTTGCATTCGAGCTTGAGGTTCTTTCCCAGAAACAGAAATCAGTAACTCAAACTTGTATTCTCTGTATCAAAATAAATATCGTATAAACTAACCTTCAATATCCTCCTCCTGATGCACTTCATTCCACTTCCCTCTTATTCATCATCTGTAAAGGGGCATAACACTAAAAACTTTGTTATTTAGAATGTATTGTAAAATTAAGCATATTGTCACAAATTTATATTTCATAAAACATCAGCAGTGACAGCAATTACAGTGCTGTTAAAAAAGCAACATAGCCAACCCTTAAAAGATGGAAAGTTCACTCAGACCTAAAAAAATTACCTTAATTTTGGTTTTGACAGACATAATACTAACATTGATTCTTCATAGCAATGGAGGATGTAACAATTTACTCCTTGGATAACACACCGCCTTTTTGTATTACAAAATAGACTATTGAGTATGATCCCAATTTTGAAAAAGTTATGTAAGTATTAACAAGAAAATTTCTGTGGTCAAGTAGGTTTCACTAAAGCTGATTCAACAAAGTTAAACAGGTATCCTTGTGACTGGACTTTTCAGAGTCTTGTAGATGCTAACACGCGTTATAAAACGCCAGAGAAGGGTTACCCTATGCAGTGTTTTCCAAAGATACTTGTCCACAAAATGTACCTCACTAGGGCCAGTGCTGAAAAAATTTACCCAGGAAAGAGCTGGGTGCTTGGAATGACTCAACCCAATCATCCAGCCCTAGAGGCCTGGCTTTTTTAACTTTTTTCTTACCAGCAACCTCTTAATCACCTAACCAGCGGCCTTTTTGCGGTGCTCATCTTTGTCAATTGTCAACTCCATGATGCCACTGATCATACTCTCCATGAAAATGGCTTTGAAAGGCAGAAGGACGATGCGGTTAGGAGCGGAGAATCTGGATGCTATTGGAGCACTACCATTTAAGAGCCATCAAGTAAGAAACAGAACCAGCTTGGGCCTCCCTGGTGGTGCAGGCGGTTGAACGCCACACTGTGAAGCTGTCTGTAGCCTCTGCAGTGTGGGTTCGATCCCAGCCAGCCGGCGAGAATCCCACATGGTGAAGCAGACCTCTCCTGTCTTGCCCGCTGCTCCCCTCAGCAGTGTATTTCTTCAGTCTGCCTGTTCTGTTCCCTGCTCTGTCTCCGGTGAATCCTCTCACCCTCCCGCGCCTCTGGCCTGTACCCCGGTTCTTGTATAAAAATAAATAAAATAAAATAAAATAAAATAAAGAAACAGAACCAGCTTGCTTAAGAGGACTGACTGGAGAGCCACCAACCATTCCAGCCCACCCTCCCCTCAGGAAGGTGCCAGAGGTTCCAGCTGAGCACAGCCACCTGAGTGACCCAGACACCACCACATGCAGCAGAACAACCTCGTGGGTGAGCCCAGTCATCCCAGAGAATCAAATGTCTTCAGAAAGATAAAAGGCCCTTTTCTCTGCACAAAGCCATTGAAAAGAAAAATAAAATACTGACCTCCCTGGGTGAGGGAAAAGACTTCATTTGGTTCTCCAAGAATCAAATTAATATTCAAAGATCTATTCAAAGAGGCAAGAGAAAGTAGATCATATCGTAGAGACTTCAAGTAGCAAAGGGGACGTGTAGCGTACTCAGGTTCCACAAGGAATGGGCCCCCAGCGTCGCACAGACACTCAGCACAGTACCAAGCATGCTAGTGTGGACTCTTGTAAAGAAACCAATGGTAAAGACACCATCTTTGAAGCTGCCCCCAAAACGAAAAACTTGGTAATAAATGTCTGAAGTAAAATTGAGGTATCTCAGCATGGACTGTTCAATATAAAAGAGTGTCCAACTCACATTAGGAAGTTCCATGCTAGACATTTGACAGTACTGGTACTGGTTAAAATTTCTCTATTCCTTAAGGAAGAGGAACAAAACACAAACACCTGGACCCTACTACACATTCTTCATCGTTCATTTCATCTTAAAGTTCTGTATTATAAACTTCCAGTTCTTATAAAAACATTTACTGGTGGATCACAGATTTTGTGCTAAGATACTGATATCTAGAATTACTTGAATAAGTAATTTTTAAAAATAAGCAAATTTTTCAAGTTCAATCTCAGAATTCAAAGACAATGTCATATTCTAGCCATTGAAATAACAAATATGTTTAAGGATAAAACTTGGCAGCCTTCAAGGAAATTGTTGGTAAGTTAACCAGTACTCAATTTTCTTCTGGAGGGTTATGTGAAAAATATATTCAAAGCATTTAACATGTACATTTTATTTCACCTAGATCTTCTCTACATTTTCCTAATAAAATAACTTCAGGGCTAAATGGTTTAGCTACTTAAGGGTATTTACTGCAACGCTACTTACAAATGCAAGAAAAGTTCTAGAAAAAACTTCAGTATACAATAGTCGAATGTATAAAGTATATAACTTATACAATAGTAAACGGTAGGTTTCTTCACTGAACCCCACTTAATACTTCCACAAGCGCCCAGGGCCTACCCTTCCATTAGCTACCTCAGGGTCCCAATTGGGTTACAGGTAGAAAAGCAAAATATTTCTGAAGGCCAGGGGAAGCTCAGGATGATAGTACAGTGTAGAGTCTGATGCTACAAGGTATAGTGCAGCACAGGCTGGATTCCTGGGGGAAACTGTACACCTCCAGAACAGTTGATCATTCCCATGATGTGCCAGAGGTGCCTGCCAGTATTAGCTGTGACTACAGTAGCTATTAAATATGAGGTTTTTTAAGCATTGCAGCTAATTCTGAGGCACAGCAAAGCTTGTGACCACTGAGCTAGAGGATGGTGACCCACCGTAAAATAGAGTACTTCTTTGGGGGGTTAGAGGCTTAAACCTCTACAAATGTGTATCACCCCTAGAGATACGACAGTGTATATCAACTTTACCTCAATAAACATAATTTAAAAGAGGGCCTCCCCGGTGGTGCAGCGGTTGAGCGCTGGGTTGCGAAGCTGCCCGCGGCCTCTGCGATGCCGGTTCGATCCCCGGCTGCTCCCCGGCCACCGGAGGAGGGTCCCGCATGGCGCGCAGACCTCTCCTGCCGCCCGCTGCTCCCCTCAGCAGTGTACTTCGGTCCTTCTGCCTGCTCTGCTCCCCACTCTGGCTCTGGTGAATTCTCTCACCCTCCCGTGCTTCTGACTGTACCCAGTGCATGTATAAACAAAACAAACAAACAAATAAAATAAAGAAAGAAATAAAACATGCCTCTATAAAAAAAAAAAAAGATTGTTTCCTTCCTGGAAGCACCTTTCCAGAAACTTTTTCCTTCTATGCAGCCTGGTTTTCATCTCCTTCAAATTTGATCAACTTCCCCTCCCATCATGGAAGAAACTGTCTTGCCTGCAGACTCATAGCCCTTTGAGCTCCTAGGTGACACTGGCGTTGGGTACATCTCCCTGGCTATGTTCCCAGAAAGCACCACAGTGTACTGGTCAAGAGTACCCTGGATCCACACTGCCTGATTCTGCATCCCAGCACCACTCCTCACTAGCTGTGCAACCCTGAGTGAGGTACTTCACCTCGCTGTGCTTCAGTTTTCTTTTCTTTTTTATAAATTTTTTTAAAGATTTATTTATTTATTATACAAGCACTGGGTACAGTCAGAAGCGCGGGAGGGTGAGAGAATTCACCAGAGCCAGAGCGGGGAACAGAACAGGGCAGACCTACGAAATACACTGCTAAGGAGAGCAGCAGGCACGGCAGGAGAGGTCTGCGTGCCATGTGGGACCCTCGCCAGCGGCCGGGGATTGAACCAGCACTGCTGAGGCTGTGGGCAGCTTCGCAGCCCAGCTGCACCACCAGGGGAGGCCCTATGCTTCAGTTTTCTTAGTGACCTAACCCTATGAGGATGTTAACAGAACCCACCTCATAGTGTTGGTGAGGGAAACAGACGAACTAACGCACGTCAAGAGCTCAGGACAGTGACTGCCTAGTACATGGTTAGTGCTGTCAGCATAAGCAGCTGTTATTACTACTGTTGTTTTTCTTTTTTTTTTTTTAATAGAGGCATGTTTATTTATTTGTTTGTTTCTTTGTTTGTTTTGCTTGTTTATACATGCACTGGGTACAGTCAGAAGCGCGGGAGGGTGAGAGAATTCACCAGAGCCAGAGCGGGGAGCAGAGCAGGCAGAAGGACCGAAGTACACTGCTGAGGGGAGCAGCGGGCGGCAGGAGAGGTCTGCGCGCCATGTGGGACCCTCCTCTGGTGGCCGGGGAGCAGCCGGGGATTGAACCGGCGCCGCAGAGGCTGCGGGCAGCTTCGCAACCCAGCGCTCAACCGCTGCGCCACCGGGGAGGCCCTACTACTGTTGTTTTTCAATCAGATCCATCGTGTGCAGCCCTAGCAGAGTGTGCTGAAGAGCTGTCTGGTAAATGAAAGAATAAACACATTCAGTAAATTTTTTTTAAAAAAAGAACGAATGAACATGTGGTCCTGGGTTTCCTCACCTAGATCACCTCTGAACACCTATTTTTGATATGGCTTTAGATCTAAAGCCTCCTGCAAATTTTTATGAATAATGTATCTTTTGTCCAATCCCTTCCTCCCAAATTTCATCTACCCTTTGCTAACAACAAGAGCTGGAAAGTAGAGGGAGGCAGGAAATACAAAGGAATAGCACAGTGTTGATAGGAATTGGGTGACACGGAAGAATGGTAGCAAAGGTCAGGCTTAATGAATGCCCTCTGAACCCTCTGGCAGGAATCCATGCACATTAAGAGTTGCAATATATGTAAGAAAAGTATATGTCCAATCATATAAAAAGGCAATCTGCCCTAATTTCCTTAATAGACATGAGGTGACATGGTAAGTACACAAATAAAACTGTCTGGAAAATATTTATTGTTTAATAATTCTTTCCTCCTCTGCCCCACCCAGTCACTCCCTCATTCTGCTTTTCTGATAATTCTAAAAGCAGAATGCATTCTTCTTCTCTACGGAAGATGAAAATAAAACCAATATACTCGAGTAGGCTTTCGTCAGGCACTACACATCACTTGGAGAGTTAGTCTTCAACAAGCCTGGTTTTCCTAGGGCCCCACAACGTAGTCCCTTTTCAAGGCCACCGGAGTACTCATGGAGTTGAAATGCCGCTGCCCATCTAAATACAACATGGACTCTGAAACACAAGAGAGACAAGTCTGAGAAACTTGCGCACCTTGGAAAACCATCATACTCGGGAACAGGGGAAACAATGAGCAGGCAAAGCCAGTGCTGAGCACACATTGTTGAGCCAGAGGGTATGCGATAGTCCAAGGGGAGCTGGCTACACTCTGCCCCTCTCCTTCTGCCATGTCAGTCTTTGACTACCAGTGCTCATGGCTAGCAACAGCCGTTCAGACAACTGCCAGGTAGGCACAGCAGCAAGAGTCGCCTGAAGGCCATGAGGCATCCTAGCCTTCGGAACTGCGGAACCGCAAAAGCAAAATCTCAAGGTATGTTCTTGCCCTGACAGGAATTGGTGTACTCCCTATAGCAATTTTTTGTTAAGAAATATATTACTCATTTGTTGTTGAACACATGTCTTTTGTGTAACTACTATGAGCTAAGTTCAAGAAATATATTACTCATTTGCTGTTGAACACATGTTTATTGAGCAATTACTATGAGCTAAGTACCTGGATGGAGAAGAAAGCCAGCAGTGACTGAGAGGGGCATGGTTTCCTACAGACCCGTATCATTGTTTACATGTTACTAAGCCACATTCTTGAATATTTTGTATTTTAGTAGCTTCTAACTATAGAAGGCAGATTCTAACTATCAAAGTGTACTTCCTAGTCATATTCACTTTTCCTAGTCACTAACATTTAATAGTAAGCAATGTAACTGGCTGTAACTACTAAGAATATCCTCAGTGATATTCTATCAGAATATCTTACAGCGATTGCCAGTTTTTGAATCATTTCATACAGCCTGTCATTGGAAACTGGAGATACAGTTCAGATCCTGGAGAAATGTGACGGTAAATAGGCTCATAGTGATTGACTGAGGTTGTCTGAACAACCTCCTCAGCACCGGACAGTTCAAAAAGTTCACAAATTCTGTCCATACCTAATTAGTATCTGGAAGTTTTGTAGGAATCAAAGTGAATCATTTTTGACCTATAACAATTTAAATGGAGAAAATTTTTCTGTAAAAGTTCTCTTTGTGAGGGACAAGGAACCATTGCCTCTTACCTCCATATGTTCTGGGGAAAACCAAGGGCACTTCTTTTTCTGACATGAATGTGAAATGGAAGACATTGGTGGTCATATGCTCTTTATCCTGAAGAGAAGCCACTTCGCTGTGAACTCTGACTTGAATATAATTGCCCTGAGTAAAGCAAACCTAAGAGATTATACACTACAGTTAGTTCAGCACCTCAGGAAGGGGGAAAAAGGCAGTCACAAGAGAAATGATGACTTTAGAATATAAAAATTTCTCTTTTAGGTTCCATTGTTAAAAAAACTCATTTCTCATCACACACTTACCTGCGAAGAAAGAAACAGCAATGATCCAACCTCAACAGGTTTCTGAAACATGATATCATCCACTGCTACTACATATGGTCGGGAACCACTATTGAGTAAAGACAAAATTCAGATGATCTTGATTTTCTCCCCAATAATTGGCTAAAGCAAAATTTAAATGATCAACTACACCTAAAGAAGGCGGGGAGAGGGAAAATAACCACAGCGGTAAAGAACGGTGGGAGATGCCACTGTCACCAGATCAATGCCAAAATCACTCTATCTTTTCCCTTCTGCATATTATCACCTTTTTTTCTCAATGAGCCTTTAATGTACTAACTTTCAAAATCAGAGCAACAGTCTTCTAAAACGAAGATCAAACCTAGTTGGTATCACTGTGGTATTTATTTTAGAACACAATATACACTCCAAATACATCCAGATTGATCCAAATGTTTCACTTTGGGGGGAATGAAATTTAACATGTGCTCCTCACATGTTAAGACTACCTTAAATGTAACTCACCCAAAGTTGCAAGCAGTAGCCCATCCAAGTTCATAAGCTTTCCTCATAAGGAAACCACCAAAGATCCGATTGAAAATGTTCCGCTCCTACAGGACATAAAATGTCGATAAATACAAGCTCACGGCCACCCTCATACACAGAACAAAGAACTTAAGCCAAAACAATGGAGGTCAGTTTAAGGGTGTGTGAAATCTTAGATGAGTATCACAGATGCAAGTTATCCTGTTTAGAAGATTTTTTTTTTAAGATTTATTTATTTATTTATACAAGCACTGGGTACAGTCAGAAGCACGGGAGGGTGAGAGGATTCACCAGAGCCAGAGCAGGGAACAGAACAGGCAGAGTGACGAAATACACTGCTGAGGGGAGCAGCGGGCACAGCAGGAGAGGTCTGCACACCATATGGGACCCTCGCCGGCAGCTGGGGATCAAACAGCGCTGCAGAGGCTGCGGGCAGCTTCGCAGCCCAGCGCTCAACCGCTGCGCCACCAGGGGAGGCCCACTGTTTAGAAGATTTTTAAGTAAATTATAATACCTGAGGGTGGCAAATTTCCAAGCCCTTCAGTTTTGATTTCTCCATCCACACTGCTTTAGGGGGCAAAACTCGACTTCGAAAACTTACAGTCCTGCACAAATGGAGATTTTATAAACTGTGTTAATGCCATAGTTTTGCTGCTGAAAAGTAAAATATTTACAGACAATTCCCAATAGCAGTCAAAAGTGGCTTTGGAGAAGACCAAGGTTTAAATGCTTACCCCAGCTGGACTCTCACCATCCTAACTTACTTTGGATCCAGCGTGCTAAGAAACATCTCATGTATGGTGGTCCTCTCCTCAGCGTTGGGAGCCACTTTCAGTAACGACATGGAGCTAAAGGCAATCCTTCTCCCTTTGTTCACTGGAGCATGGGATAATAAGGAGCTACAATCAGGAGGGTCACAGTACAGAATTGGGGTTCCTGACCTGGGGTGTCTTGGTCCCTACAGAGGCAGTATTTTAAGATTTCAAAAGCACAACTGGAAATTGTATATATGTCCCAGAAAAGGCTGCCAAGGTTACATAAAATGTCCAGTGATTCTTTGCATTCAGCTGGAAATTCTGTTGGCTCAGAGTGAAATCACTTCTAATCATCCTGATCTAGAGCTCTGACCAGTTCTTTCATTAAGATACAGTTCCCACTTAATTAAACATGAGAAAACAAATGACTTCACTTAATAAATACTTCCTGATGGATAAAACTGTTCAAAGTACGGACTCTGTGAAACCAAAAATAAGGTATTTTTAATTTCGACAAATTCTTGGCATGCGTAAGACACTTGTCTGGCATGAGGAGTATATACTTAGTCTTAAGTAGTCTCCCTTGTGGTATAATTAATGTGCTTTTTAAAATTGTATCTTATTATAAACAAATTAATATACATTCTCCTTGTCTAAAAAGTTCTTCTTCCTCTGGGCTTTCAAGGATGAGTGGATTTACAAATGCCGGCCTAAAGAGAAGGAAAAAAAAAAAGGAAAATTTAAGATGAGTCATTATCTATTAAAATGGAAAATGAACAATTACCTACAAAGTCTTCAAGACTTTGTTACTCATTTTTCATAATGCTATTGAATGCTTCACCCAAGAACTTTGGGACAATTAGGGGAGGCTTCTGGTTACAGACTTATTTGTACACTAAAGAGTTCACATTATCAAGAGGATATTGCCTCTTGCCAAAATGTTTCATCTGATTCTAATCATGAAGAAACAGTTCAAAATAGGTTATTAAACATTCAACATGACATCAGGCCTGGATACTTCAAAAATGTAAATATCTTAAAAGAAAATGGCAGGGGAACTATTTTAAACAAACATGATAACCAAATGTAATAGGTAATCCTTTATTAGCTCTTGACTCAGGGGAAGAAGCTATAAAAAATATTTTAGGGACAACTGCCAAGGGTGAATAAGAATTACCTATTAGATAATATAACTGTATCACTGTTCAATTTCTTGGAGATAACACAGGCACTGAGGTTATATAGAATTACCTTAGTCTTAGGTGATACAAGCTGAACTATTTATGGGTGAAGTAGTCTAAAACTTACTTTCAAATGATTCAGGGGAAAAATGTATATATGTGTATACTTACAGAGAGAAGGTAAGAGAGTAAGGTAAATGTAAAAGTTAATTGGTGAATTTAGGTGAAGAGCATAGCAATGTTCATGGCATTATTCTATTTTTCTGCAGGTATAAAATTTTTCAAAATAAAAAACTGAGAGAAAAAGGAGAGTACCGCAACATGGTAGAATCCTAAGGTTTGATGAAACAACAACGAAAACAAGAGAACTGAAATAGTACCTTGGAAAAGTGAAATGAATCAGTTGGGAAAGAAACTCAAAGTAATGCCCCCTTGTTTCGAGCCACTAAGAGCAGCATGTCAGTTGGGGCTGGTGGAGTTAAAGCAAATACCCGTATTCTTGGTTCAGTTCAGAGTCATCAGGGTATTTTTTAATGTAATTCAGATTTCCAAATCAGCTGTCCATGCAAGCAGAAAAAGTTTCTCTTTGCAGACTCCTCACTCAAGTTTCTAATACAAATTAGAATTCCCACAGGCCTCCGACATCTCTCCTGCACCAACAGCAATCCTATAACATTACCTCTCACAGTTTTAATCAGTTTGAATGCCTTGGATATAACTGTTGTTAGGAACCAAGAATTCAATTTAAGTGGGAAAAAAAAGCACCAAGTCAATGAAGTTACTCCATATAGTTAAATTTGACTTGGAAATGAAAATAAAAATTCATGAGGTTACTTGTTTGCTTTGTAACATATATCCTACCTCTGTGTACCGAAAAGGTCAAGAAATAATGACAAACTAGCAACAACTAGATTGTTCTAGTGCCCAGATTTTGGTCTCTAAATGCCCCATTCCCACTAAAATGAACCTCTTTGGAGAAATGGCTAATTCTACTGCGAAGATCAGAAATGTGTAAGATGAGCCCCAGATAACTTGCTGCATAAGAGAGCAGGGGAAACGCCAAAAGAGCTTATCATAGGAACCAGCTTAAAAGAAAGCCCATTGACCAAAGAGCGCACTCTGAACATCAAGAACGTGAAGGGGACGTGCCTGTGCCTCTAAATCATATACAACATCGTAGACAGAGGTTATCTCAAAAAAAAAAAACAAAAAACAACTATGACTGCAATTTATTCTATTTTCCATATTAAATTCCATGAATTCACAATGATACTTCTTTAAAAAGCCAAAAGAGTAGAAAAGTCATGTCAATACTAGCTAGTAAACCACCTCATTATTCTGAAAATATGTAAATGAAAAGCAAGAATGAAACACTGATCCTGACTTTCCTTTATAAACCGAATGGTCCCCAATGAGGAGGGAAAGCTCTTCCTCACAGCACCGCAGTTGACAAATGTTAAAGGAAGGAATGACAGAATTTGAGAATCAGCTTACACCCCCTAATAAAAATGATTAAAGCAATGATCAGCCATGAATGTGGAAAACACGAAGAAAAACCAATAGGGAACTAGCTACTCACAGCCGACAAAGTGTACTTTGGAGCCACCTTGGACTGCACTATACCCTGGCGATGATTTCTGATCACAAGTGGATAAACTGAACTTTAGAACAGAAAGATCAGCTGTCACTACTTGAACCCATGCATCAACCTTAGCATCACTACGTGACGGGCAATCTGTACCTCCTAATATGATGCAGCATAAAATACAAGACACACAGATAGCATCACTGGCAGTGTTCTCACTGAATATGCTGAGCTTGAAGGTAAACAAGGCTTTAGATCTCACTCCAGTTTATAAAAAAATACTAAGGCTACAGAAACAAGTAAAAAAAGAAACCACCATGAGGAAGGAAAGAGACAAATACATAAAGTTGAACATTGTACAGGACAATCAGTCCGACCTTTCAATGAGTTAGTGACATGAAACAGTAAGGAGGCAACAGGGACACACAATTATTTTGGATTAGAACAGACTTAAGAGATCACATGATTCTATGAATACACTAAATAAAAGTCATTAAATTGTACACTTTTGATGGGCGAATTTTATGATATGTGAATTACATCTCATTAAAGTTGTTAACAAAAAATAAACAGACCTAAGAGACATAAAAGTCAAATGTAATATGGGGGGCCCGGTCTGGATCTTGACTTGCACAAATCTTTAAAAGATATTCGGCGGAACAAAGCTATTTGGGAAAACTGAGTATGAACTGAATAATAAAATATATTAATGACTTACTACTATTTTTTCTAGGCAGATAATAATGATGATGTAATTATTTAAGAAAATATCCTCAGTTTTAAAGAGATGACTACACTAATATATTTAAGAAGCAAAATGTTGTGTCGGGGATTTGCTCTACATTAAGTACTATACTTTTTAAAAAAAAGCAAGTGAAGCATATATGACAAAAATGTTAAAACTATTAAGTCTAGGTGATGGGAATATGGAAATTCATTCATTTTCCTTCAAATTTTATCTCTTTGAAATCTTTCAAAATAACAAATTAGGAGAGGAAAGCAATTACCCTTTATTTTCAGAATCACGAGCCACCATTACAAATGTTGCATCCAAAACTGGACAAAAGTCATTGTCTTGTAACTAAAGAACAAAAGAAAGAAAATGCAGATGTAAGAAAGGCATTTACTAGTGCATTCTAACAGGTATCATGCATGTTACATGAAAGGCTGACATGAGAAAAGGAGATGTATATCCCTAACCACCATCTGCTGAAATATCTGCCCTGAGCCAGGCACAGGACACTGGGAAGGGCAGCGTGTCAAGGAGCCCGAGAGTCAACAGAGGAGAGAGACCCACGCAGTGCACTACGCGACAAGTGCAGTAAGGACAGGCACCCAAGGGCAAGGTCGCAGAAGGACCTTCTGCATCATGACCACCTAACTGCCCTGTGCCATGCAGAATTCGGGCTTTCTTCAGGCCTCTCTGTGCTCACAGTGGCACAGCCAGCCAGGAGCATGGCCCACTACTCTCACAGGCATTGGTATTTTCGGGGAACTTCAGCATGCCAACTACCAGCATATGTCTATGTTTCCTTCGACAGGCACAGGGGATCCCAAGAAGAGGTAAGATCAGGTAAAATCTGAGGATTAAGCTAAATATTTACAATGCATGTGCCTTGAGGTTTTAAGATGTCCCTACTTTTAGAAAAGTTGTATCATAACCTGAGGATGTGTCAGTATCAGGTTCCCTCCTCAACAAAACCTCATGAGTCCTCATCACTGCAGCCTGGCCAGGCCCTTACTGCCTTCCCCTTGGACTGTCTTCTTAGCACCTGGTCAAAGCCCACTGGCACTATAAATAAGGACCCCATAGTGCAGCCCAGGTTTCCTCTCTAGTTGTTCACTAAACACTTGCCTCATACCAGCACCTTCTCCCCAAGAAACAGTGAACAATTTGGAGGTCCTGGAATGTCCCATGCTGTCAAATACCTCCCCTCTATGCCTTTGCCTGAAGTCTTTTTCATGGCCACATTCCTCAAAATATAACTCCCTCCACTGTCCCATCCCTCTTCCCCAGCACATCTCATTATAACCTCCTTTGTTTGGTCACCTAAATGGAAACAAAGCCCTCTCCTGACAGTGGTTCTCACACCACATCATAGGGGGACACTTGAAAAGGTGTTGGGCTGGTTTTGGTTAACACATGACTTGGAGGACATTACTTGTGGGGGCAGGGGTAACCTGGGAGCTCAATGCCTGGAAATGCAGGGGACAGTCCTGCAGAACAAGGAATTTGCCCACATCTAATGTCAACAGTGTCCGTGGTGAGACATGCTAATCTGTCATAATAATGTATTTATGTGGTTGTCTCCCCACTGCACTCCTTGAGGACAAAAACCATTTCTATTCATATCTATATCCCTAGAACTTAGCACAAAGACTGGTAGAAAGGGCTGGCCAATGATTGCCAGTGGATGGATGGATGGATGGATGGATGGATGGATGGATGAATGAATGAGGCAGGTAATTAGCAAGCACCGCTAGAATGTCAACTTCAAGCAACTGGAACTTCCTCTGTTTTACCAACTACCATAGAGCTAGCACAGAACAGACACTCAATAAATAATTGAATGTGAAGTGAATGTCAGGAAGTGAGACAGGTGACTCCCACCCAGACACCATTGTTAAGGAGCACATAGTCTAGTGCAAGAGGAAAACACGAGTTTGCACGCAATTGTGTCAGGCAGAGATTAACAGGTACTGGAAGAAAGGGTCAGAGGAAGGAGTTCTGGAAAAGGAATAGGAACCATGAGTTGGGAAAACTGGGGAGGAATTTGAGCAAAAACGTGACCTGGAAGCACAAGTGGAACATGAATCCACAGGGCCAGAGCATGCGGAGTTCAGGCAAAGGAAAAAGTGTAAACAAGGACTCTCATCCACTTACTTACTGTTTAAAAGCTCGGTTTATTCTAATGGACACCCACTAGTGCTGAACACTGGGAATACAAAGATGAAAAACTCCCTACTCTTAGGGTGTCCATCAGTGAGCTCTAAGAAAGTGTATAAATGCAAAGTAGGTTGGAGAATGTTTAGGAAGCACCTTGGACCTAACTAGCCAACTGAGTTTTGACTCTAATCCACAGATAATGGTCACTGAAGGTCTTTGACCACTGAAGGGGAGCAGCATGATTTAAGATCAATTTTGAAATGTCTAGTTGATAAAATTTACAAAGAGAAGCCTCGAGTCTTAGAGGCAGGCAGACTAATTAAAAAACAGTCAATTAAAAAACTAATTAAAAAACAGGTACACACACCAGAAGCAGTGAGGGCCTGAAGGAGACATAGGGCTTGGAAGAAGGGGTAGGACCGACTGGTAAACTGCTGTGGGTGATGAATTTGCAAGACTTGACAAAAGGTCACACAGGCAAAGGAAAGACGTAAAGTTATCACAAAGTTCTGGAGCTGGGGAAAACAGGAGAGTGGCAAAGGGAAAAACAGGAAAGGGTCGGGATTGGAAAGGAAGCTGACACACTGGACTTGAGGTAGCCAGAGCACCTGCAGCAGGAGAAATTCAACAGGCACTCAGAAAGGTGGGTCTCAAGGTCAAGCCCAGAACTGAGATGTGGGACTATCTCAATAGTAATGGTAATAAATTAACATTATTGCCAACACTTGATTGGTGGTTATTGCGTGACAGGCACTGTATCAAGCACTTCATATAGGTGGGTTGTTCTTTTTTGTCACTCTTACCATACCATATAAGGTAGCACTATTGCATGTCACACTTGAGAAACCAGAGGCTTAGACAAGAGAAGTGATTTACTCACAGTCGCACGGCTAATAAACAGAGAGCTAGGATTGGGACCATGTGTACTTAAACCAGAGTCAGGGGACTTATTGCCGAGCTCCCTCTCTGGAATAGAAAGGATCACTCAGTCATGGGTTATTAGTCAAAATGGCCAATGAGAAATGCAAATGTAAAATAGAAGTTTGTCCTTGACTGATGTTGGATTTCATTGGCTCACTCTTCCCTCTAAGTCCTGTAGCTCTCTTTTAACCTATTTGCCCCAAATTCAAATTGTCAAGATTCCCTAGAAAGAAGGTCTAGTACCAAGTTAGATATCAACTGTGAAGATTAAAAAAAGAATGTGGACAAATCACAGCAACATCCCTAACAACTTTATGATGTTTTGTTTTAAAACTATTACTTTCAGTTACAGCAACATGGGAGTTAAAAAACTCAACTGCTTATGTATAGCATCAAATAAAAACAACTATTTTAACAAATAACTTTAAATTATAAAGCAAGTATCAGACTTTTTCTGAAAGGTGAAATACTTTATAATTCCATAACAGAAAAAAACTGTATTTGAAGAGTAGGCCTACTGAATACCCTAGCAAACGTTTTAAATAAGGTTTCACAATGAAAATTATAAACACTAAATTATTTCATGTTATTATCTTCTTTGAGGAACATTCTCATCAAATTTCTTCACTTCCTTATAATAGCTATTCTGAGTTTTGCTCAAGAGGGGTTGTTCCTAACTGCTGTGAGAATCTAAGTGACTATCATGGATTGGACTGTGACCCACAAAAAGATATGCTGAAATCTGAACCCTCAGTATCTAGGAACATAACTTTATTTGTAAACAGGGTCCCTGCAGATATAATCAGTTAAGATGAGGTCATACTGGAGAAAGACTGAGCCATTAATCCAGTATGACTGATGTCCTCATTAGAAGGGGAGAAGAGACATGGAGACACACCAGGGGAAAATGCCATGTGATGAAGAAGGCAGAGATTGAAGAGCTACAGCTGCAAGCCAAGGAATGCCACGGCCGGCCAGCAAACTACCCAGAGTTAGGAAGAAGCAAGCAAGGATTCTCCCTACAGGTTTCAGAGGCAGCAGAACCCCACCAAGACTGTGATTCTGGACTTCTAGTCTCCAAACTGTGAGAAAATTAATTTCTGTTAAGTGACTTGGTTTATCTTATTTCATTACAGCGGCCCTAGGAAACTAATTTAGTGACTAATGCATTCATGCCTAACATAATTGAAACGCTTTTGAAATTCTCTAGGGGATAACCAGAAATAAGCACATTAACATGGAGCTGTATATGATTAAAAGTAGTAAACACTAAAGGTAAACACCAAATATTGCATTACCTTTGTCCAGGAAAAGGATATTAATAACCCGCCATCTTATGACATGTACTTTTAACTGTTTTGCCACAACTGGTGAGCTATACCCCTGTCTATGGATAAAGAAGTAAAAATGTTTCCTTTTACTAAGACTACCTAGTTGTACTGAAACAAGTGGGCAATTTTGCGAAACATACACACCTGAAACATCTGCATCTTCACTTCCATGGATGTTTTCCCAACCCAGCTAACATGGCCACTGAACTTGATGTCCCGTTCTGGGCTTAAGCACTTCTTACACATATCTGCAAAAGAGAAAATCAATCTGGGCCCGAACCATACCAAAATTTCTCTGTACTGTAAATGGACAATTTCATTTGAAATTTTGGCAAACTCTACATTTCTTTATTGTTTTCAAAACAAAAATTAACTTTTGACATACAGAAGAAATTTATGTCCTTGTGAAAAATGCAGACAACGCAAAGACTATAAAAAAAAAACTGGAGTAATACAAAACCCTTCTACCCAAAGTATAATAAATTATCTTGGCATATAACATCCTAATATTTTCACATGCATATATACATAAAAATTTCTCATAAAAGGAGAATATTTCCTCTAATCTCAATAACAGCCTATAAATACTAAGAATTCTAAATATGCAGAGAAAATAATACTGCTTACCAATCTTGTCCACCAAGGCTGTAACTATTGATAAAGGAGACATCTCAGTTGATTGATTTTTGTTGTGCATGTAGCAAATAAGAACTGTAACAAAATAGAAGGCAACCAAATAAAAGAAAGGCAAAATTATTTCTCAATATTTATAATTTACCCCCTGAAATTCACAGAAAGTATTATCCTATTATGAAGACCCAACTCCCCCATATTTCACCAGTGATCTTAACTTAGGACCAAAGACTTATACACTGAAGAAATTTAGAAATACTCTAAATGGATAGTCCTATCAATTTCAATTTTGATGAGGAAACCAAAGCACAAAGCCCACACGTCCAACAAGTGGCTTGTCATTGCTTCACAGAAACACAGTCCTATGTCAGAAAAAGACCCAGCATGAGTCTGACCATATCAAACACCTTCAGAAAAGAGGAACAAATCACAAGACTCAGATACTTGTTTTCCTCCTGAAACTTTCCTGAAGCAATTATTTTGCTAGATTATCCCTCATTCCCTCTAAAGCCCTCAGCTCCTACACAACCCTGCAGTTATCTGTGTACTTTCCACTAAAGGTAAACACCAAATAATGTGTTACCTTTGTCCAGGATGAGGATATTAATAACTGGCTATCTATAAGGCATGTCTTTTTTTTTTTTTGAAGATTTTTTTTTTTACTTTTTTTAAATTTTATATATTTTTTACATCATTTTTCATTAAGACATGTACTTTTAGGGCCTCCCTGGTGGTGCAGTGGGTTGAGCACCACTCTATGAAGCTGTCCACTGCCTCTGCAGCGCTGGTTCAATCCCGGCCAGACAGGGAGAAACCCACATGGCGCAGCAGACTTCTCCTGTCTCGCCCGCTGCTTCCCTCAGCAGTGTATTTCACCATTCTACCTGTTCTCTTCCCCACTCTGTCTCTGGCGAATCCCCTCACCCTCTCACACATCTGGCCTGTACCCCGGTTCTTGTATGAATAAATAAATCTTTAAAAAACTAAAAATAAAAAATTTACTTTTAATTGTTTTGCCACAACTGGTGAGCTATATACCTGTTTATGGATAAATAAGTAAAACTGTTTTCCTTTCACTAAGACTACCTAGATGTACTGAAACAAGTGGGCAAATATTTATAATAGTCTATTTATAGACATTTAAATACATATTTAGTACATATTTAAAATATTACATTATTTTAAATATTAACATTAAAATAATACATATTTAGAAGAGTATATTTCTGTGTTTAAAAACATTAATTCAAAAGGATACTTGCACCTGTATGTTTACTGCAGCACTATTTATAATAGGTAAGATTTGGAAACAACCCAAATGCCCAAAAATAGATGACTGGATCAAGAAGATATGGTCTATATACACAATGGAATACTATTCAGCAATCAGAATGATAAACGCATGCCATTCAAAGAAACATGGATGGAGCTAGAAGGGATTATGCTCAGTGAAATAAATCAGAAGGAGAAAGAAAAATATCAGATGGTTTCACTTAGAGGAGGAATATAGGGGAACCAAATAACGGATCAGGAAAGAAAATAACAACAATAAAAAGCAAAACAAAAATAAATAGACAACTATAATTCAGAGACATTCTGAGGGGAGGGAGAGGGATCAAAACAAGGGCAGGAAGAGCACAAGGGACTATGGTGATGGTGCTCAAGTGACCTGGTGTTTGAAATTCTATGGGGACTACACCTGAGAAAAGAAAGCAAACAGTGTAAATAAAAATGAACAATGATGTAAAATATATATTAATTAATTAATAAAAAAAGAAAAAGAAATAAAATAGTATATTTCTGTGTTTAGTGGTTCCCTTGCTTCCCCTATGATTCATTCAAACTGGTTTCATCAACCAAGAGGAAAAGTGTGCACTCAACCAATACTTAATGGCAAGTCTCTCCATGCATGCACCTGCTAAAGGATGCACAGGAGGGAATGAGAGGCTAAAGGCAAGAAACTCCATTTATTTTTTTTTTAACTAAGGAGACAGTTTCTTTTTTTTGCAAGATTTATTTATTTTTATAAATAAAGAACTGGAATACAGGCCAGAGGCACGGGAGGGTGAGAGGATTTACCAGAGACAGAGCGGGGAGCAGAACAGGCAGACTGACGAAATATACTGCTGAGGGGAGCAGCAGGTGAGACAAGAGAGGTCTGTGACACCATGTGGGAATCTCCCTGGCTGGCTGGGAATCAAACCCGCGCTGCAGAGGCTGTGGACAGCTTCACAGTGCTGTGCTCAACCTGCTGCGCCACTGGGGAAGCCCAAGAAACTCCATTCAAAAGCGTTTGTGGGGCCTCCCTGGTGGCAGAAGGGGTTGGGCACCACACTGTGAAACAATCCGCAGCCTCTGCAGCACGTGTGCGGTCCCCGGCCAGCCAGGGAGCAACCCACATAGCACAGCAGACCTCTCCTGTCTCGCCCACTGCTTCCTCAGCAGTGTATTCCATCAGTCTGCCTGTTCTGTTCCCCGCTCTTTCTCTGGTGAATCCTCTCACCCTCCCGCGCATCTGGCCTGTACCCTGGTTCTTGTATAAATAAATAAATAAATCTTTAAAAAAAGCATCAGATTATAACACTGTTAAATAGGAATAAAATACTTTCAGGGAGGGGAAAAGGTGACAATTCAAAAGTAGTAGATATCCTTCTTTTCCTGCTTTTAGAATATCCTCCTTTGTTCAGATTAAAGAATAAAAGCCCCCTCCAGTATCTATTAAGAAATATAAAAGGGCCTCCCCGTTGGCACAGCGGGTTGAGCACTGCAGCTGTCCACAGCCTCTGCAGCATGGGTTCGATTCCCGGCCAGCCAGGGAGAGGCCCATGTGGCATGGCGGACCTCTCCTTCCTCGCCCACTGCTCCCCTCAGCAGTGTCTTTGGTCTATCTGTCTGTTCTGCTCCCTGCTCTCTCTTGTGGGTTCTCTCACCCTCCTGTGCCTCTGACCTATACCCCAGTTCTTGTATGGATGGATAAATCTTAAAAAAAAAAAAGAAATATTAAAAATACTAGTACCTCCTAAGCTGTCAAGATCCTCAAGAATTCTGCCAAATCTGTGAAATAAAGAAAACACTGATTAAGTGAAAAATCATGATGCTTTCCCTTTAAAAGAAAACCCACTTTGATCTAAAGTTGACTGTGGTGATGGTTGCACAACCCTCTGAATATACTAAAAACCACACAATTCTACTTTAAATAGGTGAATGGTACAGTGTGTGAATTATATCTCAAAATTTTAACAAAGAAGGGAAATAAAAACAAATAAACAACACAAATAAAAATAGAGGTGTATTACCTTATTGTGTTTTGAACCGTCAAATATTTCTCTCGTAATTTAGGCTCACTGCCCAAAGGCAAGAGAACATCAACATAACTGTCTTTCATTCTCTTAGGTGGAAGTTCTTTCTGTGATTTAGGCAACAAATTATGAAGTAATTTCCTTTGCTCCATTGCTTTTACATGGTCCCTGAGAAGAAAGGATGCAAGCTTCATGAAACACAGGAGCAGCACGAGCCCAAAATTCTAAATGACACAGACGCTATCAAGGGAAAAAAGAGAAGGTATGGGCCTACTTCATCATCTTTTCCTTCCCTCCCTTCCCACCCGCCACTTGGTGAAACTGAAAATTTTTAATAAGCTTTATTAAGCTTGTAGATAAGAAAAATATACTTAAAATATAAATATTCCTAAATAAGCCATATACAGTCACTCTCATACAAAAGCACAGAGAATAGAATATCTGAAATTAAATTATAGATGAGCAAGAGAATGACATGGACACTGAACTCCATATTCCCATTCCTCACCTTTATAATTCTCTTATTTTCTGTGCCCCAGCACTCGCTCTTACTTTTGCATGCACACGCACTTGCGTGTACGCTCTCTCTCCCTTCATCTTCAGAAATGGGAGACAGAGAAGAAAAATGGAGTACATCCAAAAGAAGTGCAGAAGGCAGAAGAAAAAGTAAAGAAAAGGAGAACATGAGCAGGAAATAAATAGAAAAAAAGAAGAGAAGATTACGATGGAAAAGAGACAAGAGGGTAGGGAACTAAAATGCTGGTACTATCATTAAGAAGGGTTTCTAAGCTTCACTTATGAAGTATTATTAGTATTATTTCTAGAACGCTTTAGCCTACAAAAAATATAGGGAGAGGCCTCCCTGGTTGCACAAGGGGTTAAGTGTTAGCACTGTGAAGCAATCTGCAGCCATTGCAGCACGAGTTCGATCCCCGGCCAGGGATCAGCACATGGTGCAGCAGATCTCTCCTGACTTGCCAGCTGCTCCCCTCAGCAGTGTTTTCAGTCGATCTGCCTGTTCTGCTCCCCACTCTGTCTCTGGTGAATCCTCTCACCCTCTGCACCTCTGGTCTGTACCCTAGTTCTTGTATGCATAAATAAATAAATCTTAAAAAAAAATATGGAATAGAAGAACAAATTAAGTGACACCAAGTTAATCCAGAATGTGGAACATTCTACAAGACAAATGGTTTGATCTCTTTTTAGTCAAGCTAACGGGAGAAAAAGAGAGATGTAACTTCCCTTACATAGATTAGGGGAAACTAAAGAGTCACAACCACCAAATGCAATCTTTTATTGGTTCTTAACATTTCTTAAAAAGCTATAAAGGCATCTGGGGAACAGTTGAATTCTGAATATGGATGAGTAGTACACTATTAGGAAATTACTGTCAATTTCATTATTTAAGAGAATGACTTGTTTGTTGGAGATAAACAACTTTTGATTTTGCCACATGTATTTATTTACTGGAGAAATATGCTTGAAATATAATGATAGCTATAATTTACTTAGAATTAGTTCAGCCAGTACTATTTCCATTGGCAACCCTGGCAAAGTGCTAATAAACATCAGATTTAGACAGTGAATAGATAGGTATTCATTCTTTATATTTTTCAGTGAACTGAAATTTGTCTTGATTTCTTTGGAGATATAATTGATATATTACACTATACAATCTATAACATATTACATACTGACTTGCTAAATTTTTATACTGCAAATTTTTCATGTAAGGACTCAATAAGTCATTAGACAATCTATACTAACAATAGGCTGGTATAGAATGTATTGTGTCTAGTGATCACTCAGACTTTTTGTATTATCTCATTTTAACCTAAAAATTCTGGACACCAAGATGGATATTACCCTATTTGCAGCAGGGAAATACTGAAAGAGGAAAACTGTAAGAGAGACAGGGTTAATTATGCAGTTGAGCAATAAAGGAATTAGGTTACAAGAAATAAAAAACCAGAAGACTTGGTTTTGAGTCCCAAACCCTATTACTTAATCATTCAATCTCCCTGAGTTCGTTTCATCATATGTAAAAAGGGGATAGGAGCATAGGCCATAAGCATGTCCCAAGTTTTGTTGATAATCAGTGAGGTAAGATACCTGAATGTACTTTGAAAAATGCCGAGTAGGTTTAAATACATTATTTTATGTCAACAATATATCAACTGACAACAATGTTGACTATTGGTCTCCCCCAAGTGAAAAAAAAATCCTCAACCTATATCTGAGGACAAAGCCCTCCAGCCCAACAATGGGATCATAAATGACCCTAAATACAATCTCACATAGCACTTCAGGGCTGAAAGACTGAGTGAGTGCATACCTCCAGTTTGTGGATGCTCCTACTATCTCCCGCAACTTATCTCGAACTGAAACAAAAAGAGGTCATTCCATGAAACAAAGAAATAAGAGAAGTGGATTATGCAAAGAGCTCAAGAACCATGAAAAGCAATTCATGCATGCAAAAGCTTGAAAGATGCGTGAATTTCCATTTAATGGAAATTCCATTCATGACAGATAGCTCAGGAAAAGGATCTGGCCTCTGCTTTCTAAAACCCTGAAACAAATATTCTCTCCTAGTGCAGAAAAGAACACACTTGTTTCAAGCACTGGGGTTTATAAAACCAGATAAAACCAAGCATTCATTGGATGGGACTGTTATCAGCAACAATACATGAGTCCTCTTATGGTGAAGATACCACGACAGAATATTCACCTATCCTATAACAAGCAGTAGTAGATCAAATTACTTAATTCAGGGATTAATACTAATTCAAAATCTGAGTCTCATTTAATTGACTTCCACTTATACTATACTAATTGTTAGAAAAGTTTAAGCCAGAAAGTCTGAAATCAAGAAAAGGCAAGAATGCAATTTAGGGCCTCCCCGGTGGCGCAGTGGTTGAGCGCTGGGTTGCGAAGCTGCCCGCAGCTTCTGCAGCGCCGGTTCAATCCCCGGCTGCTCCCCGGCCACTGGAGGAGGGTCCAGCATGGCGCGCAGACCTCTCCTGCCGCCCGCTGCTCCCCTCAGCAGTGTGCTTCATCATTCTGCCTGCTCTGCTCCCCGCTCTGGCTCTGGTGAATTCTCCCACCCTCCTGCGCTTCTGACTGTACCCAGTGCTTGTATAAATAAATAAATAAATAAAATCTTAAAAAAAAAAAAAGTTAAAAAAAAGCAATTTAATTTTAATTAATGCCTGCTGCCCAAAAATGCAAGAATGAATTAGTGTGAAAAAAGTTGATACTAATTACCGTGATTCACATGTATAGGTGGCCGTGCTATATGGATAAAGGGAAAATAAATTAGATAAGCAGTAATTCAAAACTGAAAAATTAAGTCTGTAGGATTTCAAATAATATGCTGAATTCATGTGTTCTTCTAGCATCTCAAAATATATATTTCCAGTTATAGGAAATTTACTATAGCAATCCTTGGTTCTTCAATAACTAACTGATCAAAATAAAAAATGGTTAGATTAACATGCACTTCAACTTTCAAGAAAAAAACTGGTTGATTTTACTATCAAACAAACATGTATATACCATAAACTTGGTGCAAACACTAGTCATAATTAAATAAGAGAACAACAAAAAAATAACTATTAGTAAATTAGTCTTATTTCTGATATTTCCCCCACATGCCTTACATAGAGGGGCAAGCTCTTATTTATGCATAGGTCTCTTTTTCTATGCCTTCCCCTTTGTTACCTATGCACAGGAAGTGGAAATCACTTAAGTAAAAAAGCTTAGTCCCTATGGCTCCCAGGAACCAAAGTTCAAATTCTGACTGTGACTTCTATCCAAAGCTATCCTGGTCATTTTATAACAGAGAAATTTACGAAAGATCTTCCTTGAGTATGCCTCACTTGCCCTAAACTATTTCATTCTGGCCTCCCAAACAAAACAGAGTTTTTCACCACATGAGCCTAAAAGGAAAACTCCCAAGCTTGCCTTCTTGGAGGTTCAACACTCCTTGTTTCTCAGGATTCTGGGATCCACGATTCAGCCCTCTGGCAGGAATAAACTGCCCCTTGCTTGAGGTACAAAACCTACAAAACAAGATAAAAACGCACTTAGAGAAAGTTCAATGTCTTCTTCCCTGGCAACCCCAAAGACCTTTGTCTCCTCCCAGAGCACTTGGCCAACCCATGCGTGCCCTTAGTATACACCATCACATAAAGGCTGACATGTTGCTCAAGTGTATGCATATTTGCATAGGAAGCTACTCCAACTAGAGTAAACATTTCCTGAGAGTACAGACCAAGCAGACAGCTATCTACAAAATAAATAAAAGATACCAACAAGGTTTAATGGATTTATTATTATCGTTCTACTTTATTAGTATCAGAAGCCCAGAATCAATTTGGTAAGCAGCTGAACAAATTAAGTATGAACAAATTTTTTTCATTATTATCACACCATATATCCTCAATAAATAAACTCAACCCAATTACAAGTTACTCAACTTTGAAAGAGAACTGAACTAGAATTTTAAAAATAGAATTAATCCTGTTCAGACTCAAAGAGAGTACTGGGGGCCTTCCTGGTGGTGTTATAGGGCAGGGAGAGGGGCAACCCAAACCCCGCAAACCTGCCTATTCTAAATGGGTTCTGCCATCCGCCGCATCAACACAAAACATAGGAGACTTTAATGGGAAGGAACTTTAATTAGGAAACAATACAGGAAAGGCAAAGAATCTAGTTTCTAAATCAAGCACCCAAAGTTACCCGTCCCCTCGCGGGTAAAAGTCCATCCAAATGGGATCGGCCCAGAGCAAGGCCCCAAAGCCTGCCACAAGTCTGAAGCACCTTCCAGTGGGGACCCACAGAAAAGGGCCAGAAACAGGGCCTCCCCGGTGGCGCAGCGGTTGAACGCTGGGCTGTGAAGCTGCCCGCAGCCTCTGCAGTGCCGGTTCGATCCCCGGCTGCTCCCGGGCCACCGGAGGAGGTTCCCACATGGCGCGCAGACCTCTCCTGCCACCCACTGCTCCCCTCAGCAGTGTACTTCAGTCCTTCTGCCTGCTCTGCTCCCCGCTCTGGCTCTGGTGAATTCTCTCACCCTCCCGCGCTTCTGACTGTACCCAGTGCTTGTATAAACAAAACAAACAAACAAATAAATAAATAAACATACCTCTATAAAATTTAAAAAAAAAAAAACATATAGAAAAGGGCCAGAAACAACCAGACAAGCCCGGAAGGAAAAGAGCAAAATCAACATCAAGATAAAAGCTGCCATTGTCACCTCCCCACGGGTCTCACCCACATCTGTGTCACCCAGTCCACGACCAAAAGACAAGCGCAGTTTCTTCACGTGTCTCTAGGCTCCATGCGCCTCCTCCAGGTCTCCTGGCTCCATCCTGCTTCCTTCCTCAGTCTCTTCTGCAGCTTCTCCTCTTCCTGCTCAGCTCCACCCTCCCTTGGGTGGGGCAGGGAACCTCCCCCTTTCCTGGGGACCACCCTGTTACAGTGGCACAAGGGGTTAAGCACAGCACTATGAAGCAATCACAGCCTCTGCAGCAAGAGTTCGATCCCCAGCCAGCCAGGGAGCAACCTACATGGCGCAGCAGACCTCTCCTGACTCTCCCGCTGCTCCCCTCAGCAGTGTACTTCGGTCAATCTGCCTGTTCTGTTCCCCACTCTGTCTCTAGTGAATCCTCTCATCCTCTGCCCCACATCTCTGGCCTGTACCCCAGCTCTTGTATGCATAAATAAATAAATCTTTAAAAAAAAAGAGTATTGGACTTAGGCAGAAATTTCCTTCTTTCTGCAATCTCATAAACTAGTATTCTGCAACTGAATGCACTGGGTTTCAAAAAAACACACTGGAAAAAGTAATATTTTCCACTGCTACTATTAGCTGAAAGGAGAAAAGGTTATCATGCCCTCAACATATAAATTAGCAATTATACTTGATACAGAATCTATTTCTGTTTGAATACTCATCACCAACTACCAGCAGTTATATGACCCATCTCCCTTATTTAGGTAAAGACACAATCGTTTTGTTTGGCTACCTTAAACAGCAGCATTTTCTAAATAATGATAAAAAAAACCCCATCATTCTGCGTGTGTGAGAAGCAGTACAGTCAAAGGGTTAAAAGCCATAACATGCTGTGTGTTAGCTGAGTGACTCTGGGCAAGTTACCTAACTTCTCTGACCTCAGTTTTCTCATCTGTAAAATGGGGGTAATAATAGTACCTATCCCCTAAGACTGTAATAAGGATAAAGAAGTTAATGTATTTTAAAGCCTCAGGGGCACGCCAATTACACAGAGAGAAGTCCTCAGAAAACTATTATTCCAGAAAGTCATGCTTCTCTGAACTCTCCCCTAAATGTTACAAAGAACGAGAAAACTAGAAAGGACAAACCAGGCATTATGATAATCATCTCTGAAAAGAGAATCAAATGGAGATAATAAAGAAGGGAATTAATAAGGAGAACTTCTTGGACCAATCTATTGGGAAAACTGGTCCTGCTGCCTTGTTGTTTGCATGCTGCCTTAAGAAATTCGGAAGTATCTCACTGCAGAACAACAAAGGCATAATCTGAACACATTTTTTAAAATGTTGATTTCACAAATCACATACTAATATAATAAGCTTCTATTATGCTATGCACATAGACTTCAGCTTATAGTAACATTTCACTACAATTTACTAATAATCTGTTGAAAACTGCGGCCCTTCACATGGGAAGGAGGGGGTGCAAAAAAAACTTCACTAACACACAAAATTATATATACTATTTCATGGACTTCTTTATTAAAAAACTTTGATTCAGACTAACCTCCTGAGGCCCAAAGAAATTAGATGAGTTTTCTCCAGTGCCAGTGACCTTACATACTGGACAGACCCCAGTTCTTCTGATGTCCCCAACAGAAACACACATGTGTGCAAAAGGAGGTTGTTCTTTTCACAAGCGTGCACTTCCCTTTATATACACAGCACTGGGGTGGAGGGAGCAGAGAAGGCCTAACAAGCCTTCAGGAGTTTTATTTACAGGAAAACCCCTAGGCCTTTAGAAGAAACTCTCCAGAGGTCTCTGGGACACTCACACCCTAGGACTCCATACTGAAGCTCTCCTATGAAAGGAGACCACGGAGCCCAACTCTGCATGGCTGGCAGGGAGTCACCGAAGTCATCAGAAGGCGGGAACAGCAGTGTCTTGGCCCTGGCCTGGGTCCAACCTTAGGGAGGGTGTGCAGCCCAGAATTTTCAGTGCAATAACAGGCAATGCAATTCATCTGCCCTTCACTCACTCTAGAAAGTGTCTCAATTTAGAAATTAAACAAAGCCGGGGGACTCTTGTAAATCTGAAAAAAGGGGTTTTTTTTAAAGTTTTTTTTTTTTAAATAAAGATTGCTCCCCGAATAATCTAATCCTGTCTGACAGTCTATTCACTGATGAACTCTTTTCTCACTAGACGCAGGCGCTTCCAAATTCACCAGAAAGGCTGGCGGGTTGATGGAAAGCAAAGACGACTGTGAAGTTGTCCTGAAATCGTCTAACAAGGCCTTTTCTTTTCATTGCTATAAACAAGCGAGAGCACGGACACTCGGCAACTGACAGCAAGGTCCGCAGAGACAGTGAGAGATGCGGGAGCCCCAAGAGAACGGATGGGGTCAGGGTCAGTGGCAATCGCCGGGAGCCTCAAGGGGCGCGGGGCAGGCGGGCGGAGGTGGGAGGGCGGACCGCACAAACCGTAAAGCCGGGCCCTGCCAAAGACAGGCCGTGGGACAGCCGGGGCCGTGGCGCTCCGGTGACCGCTAGGGAGGCGCGCACACGCCCCGGGGCCCGGGACCAGCCTCCGCCGGGGTCAGCGGGGATGACCACGCAGCCGGAAAGCCCTCCTCCGCGTGCAGCCGGCCCGAGCCAAGCCTCCCTCGCCCGCAGCCCCTTAAGGGCAAAATCCAAATCAGCCGCGGGCGCCCGAGTCACAGCGCCCCGAGGTCCTGCGGGCCCACTGGCAGCCTCCATCCGTGCCCCGGCCGGCGCGCTCCCTCAGAGGCCGAGCGGGTCCGCCGCTTGACCCTACAGCTGTTGGTCCCAGGAGGGCAAAGGGCTGCACGGATCACGGGGAGCCCCGTGGACAAGCTTTCCGCCGAGGGACTACCCCCCAAACGATTTACAACCACATTCCTGGTGAGCAAACGGAAAGGAATTTGGGGGGGCACCCAACTTCCCCCTTCAAGTGCCGCTTTGCTTGTGCATCTCAAACTCCCGAAACACCGCTGAGGTGGCGGGCGGGGGCCCGCGCTGGCCCTGAGCCCCGGGGGATCGCGGAGGCACAGCCCTTGCCCTCCAGGCCCCACAGAGTCAGCCCCGCCCGCCGGCGGCCCGCTCCTCCCGCCCGGGCGACAGCCGCTACCAGGAAGGGCGTGGGCGCCCCCGGCCCACGCCCCCAGGGCCCCAGAGTACCTACCTCAGCGCCACCCGCCTCATCGCGCTGGGGCACCGCTCTCGCCACCAGAGAGACACCCGCGCCCCAGGCGCCGCTCGGTCGACGGAGGTGGGCGGAGAGCGCGACGGGACGCGGGCACGAGCGGCAGACCTGACCGCACCCCCCACGACCGCACCCTTGCGGCTAGGCCCACCCCACGCCGCCCGGGGGCGTGGCCTCACGGGCGGGGGGCAGCGCGGGTGGGTCTGGGGGCGGGGCTCGCGGCTCGGGGGCGGGCCACGCTGAGTCTGCCCCGCTTCTCATTGGCTGGAAGCTGGAGTCCGGCTCTAAGCTTCCGACTCCATCCACAAGACTAATGTGTGTTACTAATTGGAGGACCAGGCTGTCCCCACTGTAGTTGATTAAATGCACCTCGTAGCTTGGCCGGTGTGTGATGTGGAGACTCGGTGAGGCCGAATCCTTCGATCTGGTCTCCCCTATGCCGCTTCACTAAAGGCCATGTGACCTTGATCCCTACGCTTCGGCTCCAGCTCTATGATTCTTGCCCTTTTAGCTGCACATTGAAATCTTCCGGGCAGCTTTCCAAAATGCCGATGCCTGGGCCGCACCCTCTGGAGATTCCGATTTACTCAGGGGTGCGGCCTGGTCTTCAGAATATCTAAAGGCGCCCCAGATGATGCTGACGTTTATTAAGATTGGAATCACTGGCCTAGAAAGAAAAAAAAAAAGTTCCTCTTTTAATTTCGGCCTGCCCCCTAGCGTTTTGATGATCTGGTTGGTCCAGAGAGATTCAATGCCAGAGTTAAGATGCTTTACCCTAGGATCTGATTCTTATTATTTTTTACAAGTATATCTTTTAAAAGATTTATTTATTTATGCATACAAGAACTAGGGTACAGGCCAGAGTGTGTGGGGTGAGAGCATTCACCAGAGACAGAGTGGGGAGCAGAACAGGCACATTGGCTAAAATACATTGCTGAGGGGAGCAGTGGGCGAGTCAGGAGAGGTCTGCTGTGCCATGTGGGTAGCTCCCTGGCCGGGGATCAAACTCATGCTGCAGTGGCTGCGGATAGCTTCATCGTGCTGCGACTTAACTCCTTGCACCACCAGGGAGGCCCCTGATTCTTATTTTATTCAAGGGATTCTTACTGAACTGTTTGCAGTGATCCCAACGGGGCTGTGGATGCTTGGGAGCTTATCTTATAGGAATGAAAAACAGGTCAGCAAGCAAGTTAGCAAATAACAATTTCAAATGTGGAAAAGCAATCTAAAGGGGAAACAAAACATAGTTATGAAAAGGACATCTTCCCAGAATATACACAAGTCTTGTTCTACCCTTGAAGATGGCAGTTTCCTTGGTGGCAGGGTCGATATTGTATTCTTTTTCTGATACTCCAAGTTTATAAAATATATGTGTTGACTTTAATTAAGCTGACTTTTAAAAATTGCTTCATGAATTACAAATGGTATGTGCTCTTTAGCTTTCTCTTTCCTCTTCTGAAATTTCCCTATTTTTATCAGCCCCACATCGAGGAGACTCCTTTTAGCCTGCAGGGATCTCTCCTTCATTTTTTGTTCATATTGTTTGGACCCTTTCAGAGATGGCTTTGCTTTGTTTAGTGTCAGATAAACTTTTTTTACTCTACCACATCTAATGGTGCAATAATTATTTCATTGAATTACACTACTTTTTGTTTTCTTGGGTTTGGGTTGAGAGAACAGTAGGCTCAGTGAGAAAAATTAAATTTAAGAGAATTTTTCATATTATATGCATGACAAATGGGGGGGATAATTTATATTTTTCGTGACATCAAGTCACATTCCATCCAGACAGATCCTCATCAATATATGGAAACAGTATCGATCCAAAAAACTGGTCCTAAGGGGCTCAAGGGCATGAAGATACCTGCTCTCCATCACTTTGCTTTCTTTTGCGCACTGGCTTCATTCTTTTTTTCACTGAATAGTGGCTCCCTCCATATGGCAAAAGACACTCCTGAACTTTACATCTTAAAACCACAGACACCTGCATAAAGACTGACCCAAACTTTTGTGTCCCAAATAATGCAAATCCTGAGAAGAGATTCACTGGCCCATTTCACTTACCAGGAACCCCCTCAACCAGACCCATGGCCAGGTGCTAGGTCACTAGCTACTAGAATGACTGTTTTCATAAGTAACACTCAGAAGGGGATATGGAGCACTTCTCAGAAAAGGTGTAGCAAGCATCCAACCCCATAGATGTCCACTGCAGACGTTATTTGAAGAGGAAAAATATTATCACATCACTTAGCCCACTTACTTTAGTTCTAGCCCCAGGGAACCCTTGCTAAACCCAGCCGAGCCAACATTCATCAACATGTCCACAGTTATCTTAATAGACAGCATAGAGCATATTCTTAAAACTTAGCAATCCCGATTATGCGTGTGTTTGTGCATGCCTCTGTTTTTGTTGTAAACCACATATGCCATACCTAATTTTGGACAGTGAGGATAGAAGACAAAGCACTCACAAAATCAGACCAGGAAACATAGAATCACTGACCTTGAGTGACACATTCACCACCCCATCTTTTTGTTTTCTTTAGTTCTATCATGTTCCCATTAGTTCTACTATAACTTGGTCTCAGGTAACAAGGATGTCATCAAATGTAAATGGAGAGCTGTGTGGAGATTCCTCAACCTACTAAAGATGGAGCCTCCCCGGTGGCGCAGCGATTGAGCTTGGGTTGCGAAGCTGCCCGCGGCCCCTGCAGCGCTGGTTCGATCCCTGGCCACCGGGCGAGGGTCCCACATGGCGCGCAGACCTCTCCTGCCACCCGCTGCTCCCCTCAGCAGTGTACTTCATCTGCCTGCTCTGCTCTGCTCTCCGCTCTGGCTCTGGTGAATTCTCTCACCCTCCAGCGCTTCTGACTGTGCCCAGTGCTTGTATAAATAAATAAATAAATAAATCTTTAAAAAAATAAAATAAAAGGCACATAGGGCCTCCCCAGTGGTGCAGCAGGTTGAGCGCTGTGCTGTGAAGCTGTTTGCAGTCTCTGCAGCGCCAGTTCAATTCCCAGCCGGCCAGGGAGATACCCTGGTACGGCAGACCTCTCCTGTCTCACCCGCTGCTCCCCTCAGCAGTCCTTCTGCATGTTCTGCTCCCTGCTCTGTCTCTGGTGAATTCTCTCACCCTCCCATGCCTCTGGTCTGTACCCCAGTGCTTGTATAAATAAATAAATAAATCTTAAAAAAAAATAAAAGGCACGTAATTGTGCATTGACAGATACCTAAGACATTATCAATGATATTATTACAAGAAGAACAATAAATAAAATAATAAAACCTAACAATCAATCCAGTATCGAGTGAAAAATATCTGCTTACCATTTTCCTTGGGCTGCTAAGCCATATATACTTTTGGACATTTCAGTCCAAGTGTCGAAAGATTCTTTTTTTTAGCTATGCTCTATTTTTCCTCAAGTTCCTCTTGCTTCAAAATGGCAAATATTTAAAACAAGTTGTGCTATTTGTGACATGAGGCCAGAGGACCTCTTTAAGATAGGACATCTTCATTTCAGGGCATGATCCTCAATAAAATGTCTGTCTGGATAAAATAAGCCTCACATGGTAAAATGTCAGTGGGCATCTCCCCTACCCAGGCCTAACCTTCTGGTCATTCCTCACCCAGTCATGCCCACCTTCCAGAAGGAGGGTGAGGGAGTTGGGAGGATTAGAGAGAGGGTCACTGTTGATGGGATATATTCTGGAGGCTCCCTATTCTGTCAAATCATACCTGTATTAAGAGCACCATAGAGGCCAAGTTGCTGTGGTGCTGCCTCTCCATGAAGGCAGATTCTCTGCATTCCCCACCCAGCCAGCCCACACCATAGAGAACTAACAGATTCAGTCTCCGCCAGTTCTTGGGCTTCCCCTCCCTCATACTGACACCACCACAGAGTCTCCTCCCCACTTCCTCCCTCACCACCGTAAACACATGCAGAATCAGTGACATTTGACAGACGATGAAAAGAGGGATGAATAACACACCCTTAGATCAGGAGAACAAACAGCCTAAGGGAGAGAGGAACATGGACACAAATCAGAATTTTTGACATTAACTCTAATGGAGGAACATGCCCCTAATATAGCAAGAGTGAATTGTTCCCAGACAATTGTCTTACTCGCTATATTACTTTCCTATTGCTGTCATAACATATGACAACTTTAGTGGCTTAAAGCAATACAAAAATATTAGCCTACAGTCTTATAGGTCAAAAGTCTGACACAGGTCTCATGGGACTAAAATCACGATGTTGGCAGGGACATGTTCTTTTCTAGAGGCTCTAAGAGAATATCTTTTTCTTTGTTCTTTCCAGTTTCTAGAGGCCACCTGCACCCCTTGGCTCATGGCCCCCTTCCAACCACTTCAAAGCCATCAGTGTTACAGTTCTCCGCGCCTTTCTTCCAATGTCACATCTTCTAATCTTCCACCTATAATGACCCTTGGGATTACAGTGGCCCACCAGGATAACCTCCCTACCTTAAGGTCAGTTGATTAGCAACATTAATTCCATCTGCAACCTTAATTCCCCTTTGCCCCTTGACCAAAAGTATGAACAGGCTCCTGGGATTGTGATGAGGACACCTTTGGAAGATGTCCATCACACCCACCAAAAGAAAGGCTATAAATAGGGGACTCCCTGGGGGCACAGGGGTTAAAGTCTCAGCGCTATCAAGCTATTGCCAGCCACTGTGGCCTGAGTTCCACCCCAGCCAGAGAGATGACTCACAAGGCGTAGCACACCTCTCCTGTCTCACCCGCTGCTCCCCTCAGCAGTGTATTTCAGTCAGTCTGCCTGTTCTGCTCCCCACTCTCTCTGGTGAATGCTCTCACCCCCCACACGTCTGGCCTGTACCCCAATTCTTGTATGCATACATAAAATAAATCTTTAAAAAAAGATTACTTGTAATCTATATTCAGAAATAAATGTCAATACATAAAATAAAAAAGAAGAGGTCAGAATGAAGAAAGCATAGAAGTAAATGTTTAACTAGAGATTACAATTTAATTATATTTTGAGGAGGGTTAATAAGTCTAGTTCTTTGGCTTATTTTTCCATTTTGATTGTGCTCATGTATGAAAATGCTGATAACTTAATGTCTGAAAGCTT